AGAGAGGCATAGCCACCCCGACCCCCAATACCTTTCGCGTACTACGCAGTCCTGGGCGCTCACAAGTGAGAGCACATACGCTGACATAAGGAACAGTCCAGGTTCAAGGGGCTCGTCGGGTACCACCATGGTTGCTCCTCTATGAAAACGAATGTGCGCGGCGCGAAGGCGAGAGCCACAGTTTGAAAACGGCCCGCCCTCAATCCGTGAAGCTCTTGCAATTTTGTTGAAACGAATGCACGCGGCGCTAAGGCGAGAGCCACTTTTTGCAAATTGCCCGTCCTCAATCCGTGAAACACTTGCAATCTTGTTAAAACGAATGCACGCGGCGCTAAGGCGAGAGCCACTTTTTGAAAGCCACCCGCCCTCGACTTGTGACATGGCTGTCATTTCTTGAGCTTCAGAGACATAATTGGTGAGGAATTCTCAGGCGAAACGCCGGGCCCTCCCTAAAATCTGACTTCGGGGTGCGACAATGAGAAATTCATTATAAGGAGAAGGAATGGAAGCAGGGGCCCGGGTGACGGCGGCACGGGCGACGGCGAGGACAGCGACGCGGGCAGGGAGGGAGGGACATGCCTTCGCACCCCCCCGCTTGCCTTGTTGAAGGACTGGCCGATCTACACACTCGCAATCTTCTGCGCCCCCATCCGCTGGGCGGACACGGTGAACAGGCAACGCTTGGGTGGAGGGGCGTATGGTCCCCCCTCCCGTTCGGCCACCCCTTCCCGCAGCCCCTTTCCCGTCTTCCCCCCCCCCCTCCTCTGCCCTCCTCGCCCCTCCCTCTCTCGGCTGCCAGCCTTTCGCTTCTCTCGCCCTTCTCGGCCTTCCCTGTCCCCTCTCCCTTCTGAGCCTCCGCCTTCACACAAGCAGTAGCCATAACAGAGACCCGCTTCGCCCTCTGGCCCGCCGCCCCCCCTCCTCCCCGTCCCCCTCCTCCCCTCCACCACCTCCCCCTGCCTTACCCTTCCCATCCAGGCTCCCTCCACATGCCCTACCCTTCGCTCCACCCATCCCTCTCCCCCCTCCTTCCTCTCCCCATCTGCCCCCCGCCCCCCCATCCCATCCCCCCTGCCCATTGCAGTCTTGCCCTCCACATCCCCTTTCCGAGTTTGCACGGTTTGCTCGCAAACGCGCCCGTCCCCACTCGGGTGACCGCAGACCTTAGGAACTCCCCGTCCCTCCCTTGCCCACCATCTCTGACACAAACCGCACAGGGTACGCGTGGCGATACACACATCAGATAGTACGCGGGCACCCTCTCCATTCCCCCCTCCACTTATCACCTCCGGCAGAAGCCGTGCGCAGTTCACGCCATGCCTCTCCCGCCCGCGGAATGCTTCGAGGGGGCAGGAGGGAGCCCGACCCTCAAGCACGCACACCCGACATCATGTGGTCGCTCAAAGGTGTTCACCTTGGGCGTCCCAGGTCCCTGCAGCTTTGCCGCGCACCCCCTTGTGACCCTCTGGGGGGTCTCCGCCGGTTCCCAGAGCGTTGCCCGAATCTTTTGCGCGCGCCCGCTTGCGAGCACTGGCTCCCCGTCGAGCTCGGTCGCCGCCACCTCCAGGGCAGCCCCCCGCTCTCGGCTACGACCGGCAGGGCTGGCCCCCTTGTGGGACGCGGAGTCGGCCAGCTGTCGGGCCCATCGGACCTTGTCGTGCTGCAGCCAGGGCTTCTGGAGTCGGCCGCGTGGCCCCGCCTCACCTCCAGCGACGGCCCTCGAGGAGGAGGAGGAGGAAAAGGAGGAGGAGGAGGAGGCAGGAAGAGGAGGAGGAGGAGGAGGCAGGAAGAGGAGGAGGAGGAGGAGGAGGAGGAGGAGGAGGAGGAGGAGGAAGGGGGAGGAAGTGGTTGAGGAGGGGGTCCGAGGCATTGAGGTTCGGAGCTTTGACATCTCGCTTTCGGCGGAGGCCCAGCGGAATGCCCTCTGGCCAGCTTGGGCGGCCGAGGTTCTTGCAGCCTTACCGCACACCCTTCCTGACACCGTCGCGCTGCAGCCAGGGCTTCTGTCCGCAGCGAGCGAGGGGGGGGACGTGAGAAGGGGCGGGCCTCCCCAGAAGGCTCCTAAGTCTCCCAGCCTTCTGAGAAGTTCCCTGGGCATTCCCCGGAGGCAGGAGCCACCTTCAGGAGGCCAGGGGCCTCCCGAGAAGCCCCGCCGCCTTCCGAGAGGGCCCTCTCCTTCCCATTTCCCCCCTCGGTCGGCCCGCCGATTCTGGGGTCGGCCGCGTGCCCCGCCTCCCCATCCAGCGGCGGCCCAGGCAGAGGGCACGATCGGCACGCTCGGAATGGGTACAGTGGGGGCCCATGCCAAGAAGCACCCTGCTGGCCTCCAGGGGGCCCTCGGCTTCTTGGGTTCCGATGGTTTTGTTGTCGAGAGCGTGACGTTCCCACATCAAGAACCAATGGACGTCCTGGGGTCTCAGGGTTGGGTTTCTTGGGTAAGGGTTCTTGTGGACTGGCCTCCACGTTACGGAAAGCATGGGCACAGACACAGCTCTTCTTGCCCACTCTGAACAGGACCCGCTGCCAGTGCCGCCGCGGACGTTGCCCATTTGAGGCAGAGGGCCGCCCGCCCCACCGCTGCCGGTGTTGGATAACACTTGTTGTTGGGCACCGTACCCGCCTTGTCCGTACCCAGTTCGGGCTTCCAAGCGCGACGTGGCTCCTTGGTCACGGCCAGGTGCGGCTGGGGAGCCGGCGCGCCCATGGTCTGGTGCTCAGCGGTGGCGCGCCGGCGTGCGCGCACGTTTTCTCCAGGGTTGAGTGTGGACCTCGTCCTTCCTCCTCGCTCCTCCTCGCTCTTCCTGATCCTCCCTGCTTCTCCTCCTCCTCCTCCTCCGCGTTCTTCCTCCTCCTCCTCCTCCTCCTCCTCCTCCTCCTCCTTCTCCTCGCTCTTCCTGCTCATCGCTTCTCGCCGTTCCTCCTCTTTTTCCTCCTCCTCCTGGTTCTCCCTCGTCCTCCTCATCGCTGCTCCTGCTTCTCCTCCTCCTCCTCCTTCTCCTCCTCCTCGTTGTTTCTCCTCATCGTTCCTCGCCCTCCTCCTCCAATTGACTCTCTGCTCTGCGCTGCGATAGCTTACCCGTTGGTCGCATTCTGCATGCTCCTTCTGCGTCAGGTGCTGGTGCTGGTGCTGGAAAACGTGGCACCTGTCTGATCTCCCTCTCCTTTTTAAGAATACACAGGAGGGCGCTGGCAATCCAACTACAGCCACACGCAAATCACACGGCACGCCCGACCAGAATCCAGAAGCAGCTCGTGCAGCCCGAGTGGGGGCCGACGCCGTCTCCCGCCACGGCTCCGCCGCTCGGCGACGGCGGAGATCACCCTGAAGTCTCTGGAGGCACTTGACCTCCCCTTGCCTCCGCCAGCCTCCTCCTCCTCCGGCCTCCTCTGGCCTCCTCCTGGCGGTGGTCGTGGTGAGCGTCGCGCTGCCGCTGGTGGTGGCCGTGGTGGTGGCGATGGTCGTGGTGGTTCTCGTGCTGGCGGCCGTCGCGGTCGCGGGGCTGGCGCTGGTCGAGCCTCGTGCCCTGCAGGTGGCTGCGGTCGTATTCCTGGTGGCCTAGCGCCCGAGCGCGCTCAGCAGCATCTCAGCATTCCCTCTTTGGAGGGTCCTGCTGATCTGCCGCCAGAGGCCGCCCAGCAGCTCGAAGCGGTCACCGTCGTCTAAGCCAGCACCGTAGCTGCAGACAAAGCTGGGTGTTTCATCACTCGGCCGGCCCCCCGTCTCGAAGACTAGGGGGACCATTTCTCCTCCGTGCGGAGGGTAGCGCTCTCGCTTATGTTCCACGGCCTGGGCGGCCGCCAGCCCGTCTTTCTCGGCCCGGGCACCCCTGCGTGGAGCGTAGGTTGAGCGTACGCAGGTGATGCTCCAGTCGATGAAGATCTGGCGGCCGCTGGCCCGGTCGCTCGTGGAGAGGTCGAGCACCGCTTGTTGGAGCTCGCCTGTGCGGGGGTGGCGGCGATCCCAGGCTGGGACGGCCTGCTCCGTGGGCGCCACGAAGCCTGTACGCTCCTTGTGTTTCGCCGAGTACCAGTCGCGGCAACTGTTGTGGCGGTCCCTCCCTCCCTCCCTCCCTCCCTCCCTCCCTCCCTCATCCCTCCCTCCTCCTACATTCCAGTTCCTTGCAAATAACTCCTCCCTGTGGCACCCCCAGACGTGTAGGTAGGGCGGGCCGGGCGTTTCGCTTGAGACTTCCGCACCTGTCATGACCCTGAAAGCTGACATGTGCAACAGCTTCACGGATGGAAGCGGGTCGTTTTCAAAATGCGGTTCTCGCCCTAGCGCCGCGCATATTTGTCTTAAAAAGTGTAAAACTGTTTCAAGGATAGAGGCCGGGTGGCTTCCAATGTGTCGCTCTGGCCTCAGCGCCGCGCACATTTCGTCTTAAAGATTTACGACGGCTTCAAGGATAGAGGCCGAGGGGCTTTCAATATGTGACTCTCGCCTTGGCGCCGCGCACATCCGTCTTAAACGTTCAAGATAGCCTCAAGGGTTCGCACGGTTGAATTCCCAGGAATGACATTCTGGCACGATTTGGGATTGTCCTGACGCAGCAGTCGCGTTGATCCGCTGTGGTGAAGTCCCAGGAACGGTGCTCCGGCACGGTTTAGGATTGTCAGGACGCAACAGGGCACTGACGTCCCCGGACCCGTGTTTTGGCACGACTGGAGATTCTCAGACGGTTGATTTCCATCGGGGCACATCCCGCAGTGAAAATGAAAGGATCACTGAAGAGGAAACCTGGAGGGAGGGATTATTCCAACATCGCTAATGCGTCTTGGGTTTACACTGGTCCTCCCCCTCCTCTTCCGGCCTCCTCCTCCTCCTCCTCCTCCTCCTCCTCCTCTGGCCTTCTCCTCGTCCTCCTCTTCCTCCTCCTCCTCCTCCTCCTCCTGCTCCTCCTCCTCCTCTGGCCTTCTCCTCGTCCTCCTCCTCCTCCTCCTCCTCCTCCTCCTCCTCTCTCTTCTCCTCGTCCTCCCTTCCTCCTCCTCCTCCTCCTCCTCCTCCTCCTCCTCTTCCTCCTCCCTCCCTCTCCGGTCTTCCATAACCCTAGCCCTCGATAGCCGTGTCGGCCGAAGGCGGCACCTGGGACCTGCCCGCCGCATCGGCCGAAGGCGGCACCCGGGACCTGCCCGCTCCTGGCCGCACCGGCTTGCGAGGCCCACGGGGCGCGGGCGCGGTGGCCATGGAGTTTATCCTGGGCGGCGCGCTGAGTGCCCGCCGACCGCTCGATCGTGGATGATCCCGACCTGGGCTGCTTCGGCCGCTCGCAGGGTGCTCCTCCTCCCCAAACCCCCTCCCATCCCCCACGAGGAGTAGGAGGAGGAGGAGGAGGAGGAGGAGGAGGAGGAGGAGGAGGAGGAGGAGGCCCCACTCCCACGCAGCTGTCCCCCTCGCCCCCGGGTGGCCGCGGGGCGCACGCCCCAGGTGGCCTCCGGGCGCTCAACTGGGCCCGCCCGTCCCGGGAGCGCCGGGCCGAGCCCGTGGGCGGCCCCGGCCCGAAGGCCGGAGTTTTTGCGCCAAAGCGGCCGCTCAAGGCTTGAGCCTCCCTCCTCTCGGGTATGGCCAGGACCCCAGGTACCCTGACCTTCTAGAGTGCTAAAAAAATAGCACTCGAGACCTGTAGATGTTAGACCTATCTGGACCGTCTCAAACCTCGACAGGAATTGGGACGTCAACGCCCTGGTGCTCTTGTTCGGCCCTCTTGGATGGTCAGAATCATTAAACCATGTCTGCCGTAGCTGGTGTTTTTTCGGGTGAGGGCAGTTCGGGTTAGTGGAACGGGGCGAGGGGGGCGTCCCCCAGCACACAGCTTTAAACCAGGTCCAAGTAAACCTAGTTCTGCCAACGCGCGATCCTCCCTCCCCAGAGATCCGACGCTCCAGAAGAATTGCAGCGGGGGGGGTTTGGCCGTTTCCGGCCTCCGGGGGCCCGATCGCCAGGCCTCGGGATCGTCAGAAATCGACTCGGGACGGAAGCCCGGCCCCAGGAAAGTGGTCCAGAACCCGGGGGCCCACGCATCGAACAACACTGGAGTGGCAGGGTGTCTGGGTCCCTCTCTCCTCCCTTCTCTCTTCCTGGCCGCCGTCTTCTTCTGCCTGCGCCCTCCCTTCCCTCCTCTCCCCTCGCCGCCCTCTCCGTCTCCCTCTCCCCCCCTTCCTCTCGCCTCCCCGCCTCCCCCTCCCTCTCCTCCTCCCTCTGCCCCTCGCCCATCCCCCTCCTGCGCCACGAAGGGAAGGGGTCCCGAGGAAAGCAGGTCCTGGGAGGTTCTGGCCTTCCCCGGGCCCCTGGGACCGTCAAGAAGCGACTCGGAATGAAGAGCTAGTGCCAGAGAGAGCCCCTGGGTTCAGGACCCATTTCGCCCCAGATCCGTGAATCATCGTCAGAACGATCCCCACCCCCGCTGCGACAGGGCAACTTGGGTCTCCCAGCGTACCCGTACCCCCTCTAGGCGAGGAAGGGCGTCGCGAGACCCGAAAAAGAGATGCCACCCATCCCCACCGAAGGGATCTATAGGTCGGCCATGCGTCCTCCCCGGCGCCAGCCCGGCGCAGTGCGTCGAGGAGCTTTGCCGCTCGGCCGCTTTCTGGCCGCGCGGTCGCCGGCTGCTTCGCATCCTGGGCCCGATCTCGCACATCCGCGTCGCCACGCTCGCGGCGCGATCGGCTCGTGATCGGCGCGGCATTGCGGGGCACGCGTCCATGGAGCAGGTCGTGCTTTGCCACAGTTCGCCGGGCAGTGCTGCGAATGTCCCCAGCGCACCGGGACGGCGCAGCCGCCAGCCAGAATGCGTCCAGATCGCGCGATTGGGGTTGCGCCAGCCCCATCCCACTATGGTTCCCTCTCCTCTCTCCTCTCTCCTCTCTACTTCTCCCTGAAGTATCCCCCCTGCCCCTCCGCCTCTTCCTCCTGCTACTGCTGCCTGTTACGTATCGTCAGTGCTACCACTGGCCTTTACCACCGCCGCTGCCTTTACAACAACGTTGTGAGGGGCTTCAGGTTTGCTTTCTCCACCTTGCGTCCGCACCGTGCGAGTGATGCAGCCAGTGATGAGGCAGCGCACAACGAATATGGACTGTTGCTCAATCGCCCGCGCAACAGCAACAACTACCACCACTACCACCCAGGACTTCCGCACACGCGGTCAACGAGTGAGGGGCCGCTCCGGGTTCGAGCATCACGGGCCAGGCTGCCTCTCTGAGTCGGGTATAGCCAAGACCCCAGGTAAGGGGACCCGGTTAGTAGTAGTAGTGCCCCGGAGCCCCTAACTTGGCCAGAATCACTATAAACCAGGTCTGCCGTAGCTGGTGTTTTTTTCGGGTGACGGCAGTGCCGTTTGTGGAACGGGGCGAGGGGGGCGTCCCCCAGCACACGTCCCTATACCAGGTCTAAACTGAACCCAGTCCTGCCAACGCCCGACTGCGAGGCGCACGGCAGCGGACGCCGAGGCGAGCGCTGCCACGGGCCGTGCGCCTCCTTCCCGTCCGCCGGCCTCTGCGCGTGGGCTCTGGCCGTCCCTGCAGGATCGTCCGGCAAGCAGGCCCTCGCAGGGTGTGCGCGGCAGGCGCTGGCGCGGAGCACTCGGTCGGCCGCGGGGGCGTCGGGGGCGGCAGAGAGGGGGGGGGATGACTAGGGGGGGGTGGACATCAGGGCGGGGGCCATGAGCTCTCCCCAGATGTCATGGCGCCTCTCTTTTTTTCACCGCGTCCCGAACCTTCCCCCCCCCCCAGGCCGCGCACATGCCGCTGGCCATGACTCGCGCCCCCCCCCTCCTGTACGCCCCCCTCCTGGCCGACCCCGAGGGGCGCGAAGAGACCCGCGCTTCGCGCGTCGCGGCCGGGGCCGCAGAGCCGCGCTTCTCTGGGGCGGCCGCGGCCTCGCCAGGGCGCGAAGATCACCGCGCACCGCGGGGCGCGGGGCGCCACGCTGGGTGGCCCGTGGCAGCGGGTCCCGCCTGGCGCGGGCCGCTTCGGCGGGGCCCCGCTGAAGTGGGGCCGGAGCAGATGTTGCTGGGCTTGTTTTCCACCACCACCACCACCATAAGTTGGAGGGGGGAAGGAGGTGGAGGACGAGGAGGAGGAGGACGAAGAGAAGGATGAGGACGAAGAGAAGGAGGAGGAGGAGGAGGAGGAGGAGGAGGACCCCTCCCGCTCCAACTTGTGGTGGTGGTGGAAAACAGGCCGATCAGATGTGGTCGGAGGATCGCGCCGCATCGCCGGCGATTCGGCACGACCTGGAGACTGATGTGTTCCATCTCGACGTCGCAGAGGCATGGCCGCCGCATCGGCGACGCGGTGCGACCCTCCGACCCCGCCAGCTCTGGCCCCGTCTGGGAGGCCTCCAGAGCGTGCGCCTCGGAGTCGGGCCAGCGGCCGACGGTCGATTAGCCACGTCGCCACCGCGCACGGCGGGGCGATGCAGAGGCCGCGTGCGCGGGGGCTGCGGCGATTGGGGCCCACCGACTGCCCAGCGAGCCAGGCGGACGAGGAGCGGCTCATCGGCGCGGTCGCCGGCGGCGCCCACGGGGCCCCTGGCAGCGGCGGCCGTCGAGGCGCCATGCAGGGGCGGGCGGAGCCAGATCTCCGAAGACATGATTGTCTCCATCTGGGGCTTTCCCTCGATTTCGGCCTCCGCTATAGCCAAGACCCCGGGTAAGGGGATTTGGTTAGTGATTGGGCCCCGAAGCTTAACATATGAACCAGAAACACTAAACCAGATCTGCCGTAGCTTGTGCTCTTAGGGTGACGGGAAAGGGGCGTGGGAGGCGTCCCCAAGCACACATCATTGAACCAGGTCGACTAAACCCAGCGCTGCCAATCCTCCACCCGGGGCCCCGGACAACAGGACAACGAAACATTCATCGGAGGCGCAAAATTACCTTTGGTGGCGGTCTGAACCTCAACATGGGGCCGCGCCTTGATCGACTACACGTAAGAATGACCCTTCGCTGGAGTGACCTTTGGTGCGGGCTCACCGGGGTCCCCCCGATCGTTGAGCGCGATGCGATAGTGGCTGCTTGCGCGCTTGGAATTGGCCAGCTTGCGCCCCTTCATCCGCACACTACATAGGGCGACGAGATCTATACATATCCACTGCTCCTGTCCAGGCCCATCCTGGGCCCAGGAGCTGTGTATACGCCCTCGTGGCTTAGCCGGAGACATATACACCGCTCCTGGACCCAAGATGGGCCTGGCCAGGAGCAGTGGACAGCTATAGATCGTCGCCCTACTACAGGTCGTTCCTGCCCAGGGTCACTCCTGCGTGCAGCCGAACTTCAAGAAACAACGCGCCGGATGCTTGGGGACATGGCGGCTGCGGCCGTCGGCGGTGCCGCGTCGGAGGCCCGGTCCCCCCCCGGCGGGTGGCGCTGCTGGGCCAGCGCTCCCGGTGGCGGGCGCAGCGGTGGGGCGGGCCCTGCGGCCTCCGCGCGGCCTCGCTATGGGCGCGCGCCCGCGGCCTTGCCCTGTGCGTGCCCAGCCGCGTGATGCCTCCACACACTCAGCGGCGCAGAAGGCGGCGGGACTCCTCGGAGGCCCTCGCGCCGTCTGAGAGGTGCTCTGCGTCTTCGAGGTAGGCTTTACACAAACTTGCCAGAAGGCTGGCGGACTTCCGAGCCTTCTGAGAAGGCCCACCCCTTCTCACTTCCCCCCCTCGCTCGCCGTCGACGTACAGCAGCGCCGATCATGGAGAAACCTCCCCTCGCCTGCCTGGCACGGCGTGTCCGTTGGCAGCCTCCCAGAGGCCGGCTTGGCTTCTGGCCCCGCTGCACGTGCACGGGGCTGCGAGCGGAAGGGCAGCCCAGCGTTTGCTGACGATTGCGCCATGCCGTTGGCCAAAGCTTTTTGGATTCACGTTTTCTTGATCGTCGCCCTGGCTGCAGTTGCCCAGAACGCGGGGCGGTGGGCCCTTCGGCAACGACGGTGTTGCCGGCGCCGCTAGCGGCGGCCGCCCTGGCGGAGGGGAGGAGCGGGGATCAGGAGCGAAACGAAAGACGTGCGCACATGAATCCACATGGGTTTCGAGAGAGCGCATGACTCGAGGGCGTCGATTTGGAGGTGAGCATATTCATGCACGTGGCTCGGCGAGTGCATCTTTGGGGCGCTCCCTAGTGGAGGTGCCCGGCATCCCGCAGTAGGTCGCATGGCACGTGGTGGCCGTCGATATTGGCACGCTCCGTGTCGAACAGTGCGGCGTCGTTTGTGTTCCTTCTTAGTGATGCCTTTTTCGTGGGGGCTGGGCCGTGGGCCGGGGTCAAGTCACAGTGGGTATGCCACCTACCACGTGGACTCGAGCAAGTCCGACCGCTTGAGGGGCGGCTTGGTGGCCCTCCGTTACCACCTCAAGTACGACTACGATTTCGACAGCGGTTGCCTGGTCTCGTTGTTGCCGACAGTAATAACTGACAGTAGTAACACCTCGGACCCGCACTTACAGCACGCTACGACGCCGCTTCTGGTCCTACGACTCGCGTTGCTATATTATTGCTACTGACACCGCTGTCGTCTCAACGTACTCGTATAGCAATGCACTGCTATACGATTAAACTCGACACTCGACCTCTATACTAGTATCGCATTGTGGATGGTACAGAAGTGGATATGCCAGATGTACCAATCCTAATACTACGGCTGCTGATGTTGCTGCGACTACTGCTACTACCACTCATGACCATCCTCCTCCCTCATCATTCTTCTCTTCCTCCTCTGCGTCCTCCGCCTCCCCCATTCCCAGCCTGTCCCCGTTCCCATCCCTGGCCCATACTTTTCGCTGCCCCTTCCCCCCCTGCCCCTAAGCCTTTCTTTGCTCGTCGTCGACCTCCCCTTGCTCAGCTTCGGTCCCCTCATCCGTCTCTCCCCTCCCTTCAGGGGAGTAGGATACCATGACGATGATGCATTCCAAGATTTACAGTATGTCGTAGATCTCCGATGGTTCCGCGCGGACTCCAGAAACGAGTGCCGCTGGATACCCCGGAACTCCTGGAACGCATCCCGAGCCAATCGCACGATGGTATGAGTATCGTCCTATCTTTGCCTCCGCCCTCTCCCTTTCCTCCCTTTCTTCTCCCTCGCATGAATGGGCATGCAAAGCTTTCTTCTTGGAACCAGAACTCACCGAGAAAGCTGCAACGCGACGCCCTCACGGTGCGCGGCAACGTTGGACCGACAGGGCGCGCAGGTGAGGGGCTCTTGCCCCACGCCGTCCTGCGCAGAAGGCATTCCTCGCATGCGCGCAGAGCGGTGTCAGCGCCTGTCATGTCCTGCGTTGTCCTCCTGCCTCCCCGTAGTCTTCCTCCTCCTCCTCCTCCTCCTTCTCCTCCTCCTCCTCCTCCTCCTCCTCCTCCTCCTCCTCCTCCTCCTCCTCCTCCTCCTCCTCTCCGCCCACTGAACATACGTTTGCAAGCGTGGACCCTAAGCAGCGGTTTCTTGCGATATATTTGTATATACATATCTACACGACGCGACGCAGTCTAGGTGGTGAAATTTTGGTGGTACAATCGATTCGGTGCACTCCATGTGGTGCATAGCAGTGCAACGCAATGCAAGCCAATGCATAGCAATGCGAAGCCATGCAAAGTAATGCAAAGCCAGATCAAGCTACGCAAAGCAATGTGGAAGCATGCGAAGCGTAATGCAAAGCAACGCATCGCAATGCAATCCGACGCAATGCAATGCAAAGCAATGCATATCCATGCAGCGCAATGCAGTGCGCTTGTCATGCAGCGCAATACCATTGCAGTGCGATGCGATAGCAAAGCCATGCGGAGCAGTGCCATGCAGTGCGATCGAAGGGCGGTACGACTGCAACCGCAGTGCGATGGCAGCGCACTGCGGCTGCAGTGCAGCGCGGCGGCGGCGGCGGACGGCAACGGGGCCGCTGGGCCTGCTCACGGGGTCGCCGGGGCCGCGCACGGGCCCGGCTCCGCAGAGGAGGAGCGAGGCCCCTGAGCGCTAAGCACTGCTCGGGGGGACGGGGCCAGCGAGGCCGTCCTCCCTCGGCCGCGGAGGGGTCCTCGGTGGGCCTCCCCCCCTCCCTCGGGGGTGGGCCCCTCTGCTGCTCCAGGGGGGTCCTGCTGTCCTGGGCGGTGGCGCGACGCCCGCCGCGAGCCTGCCTGCCGCGCTCCGAGGACCTCCTCCTCCTCCTCCTCCTCCTCCTCCTCCTCCTCCTCCTCCTCCTCCTCCTCCTCCCCGGCGTGGCACTGCCTTGTGCCCTCTGCCCTGAGCGAAGAACATGAGGCGGTGCGGCGGCCTCGCTGTTCACGTACAACCGCGCCAACTTCATGTTCGACAAGACCCAGCAGCAGGAGCGCCTCTTCACAGGCCAGGAGATGCTCGTAAAGCAGTTCGAGCTGTACCGCGAGGAGGGAAGGGCCGTCAGATCCGGGCGACGCAGGAATTGTCGACGGACGGCGATTGTGTCTTGTTCTTCTGCTCTAACACGCGCGAAGACTTGGCCTCTGGAGGCCGTCTCCCAGCCCCGGGATCATTAAAAGATGATTCAGGATGAAAGCCGCCCCCCAGAAAGATGTCGAGATTCCCATGAGCCAGCGTCGCGGCAAAAATGCGTCGTCGGAGGAGAATGGGGAGGGGGAGGGGGAGGGGCAGGGCCGAGCCTCGAGAAGATATCCAATCCGAGGGATGCCTCTCAGATCCTGGATCTCGGATAGAATGTGGTCGAATATCTGAACGCCGTGCCGAAACATTCGTTTGGCACAGCGAGCTTTCCCCAGCATGTGTAAGGGCCGCCCCCTCGGATCGGATATGTTGTTTGGACCGGCTCTCGATGGGGCGAGCCGGGGATGGAAGAGGAGGGGGCACGGGGAATCAGACGGGGAGAGGAGGAGGAGGAGGAGGAGGCCGGAGGAGGAGGAGGAGGAGGAGGAAGAGGAGGAGGAAGGGAGGGGAGGGGGAGGGGGAGGGGGAGGGGGAGGGGGAGGGGGAAGGGGGATGAGAAAGGGGAGGCGGATGAGGAAGAGGACGAGGGGGAGGCCAGGAGGAGGAGGAGGAAGAGAAGGAGGAGGAAGAGGAGGGGAGGTGGAGGGGGAGGGGGAGGGGGAGGAGGGGGAGGAGGAGGAGAGAGAAGGAGGAGGCCGGAAGAGGAGGGGGAGGTGGAGGAGGAGGAGGAGGACGAGGAGAAGGAGGAGGAGGAGGAGGAGGAGGAGGAGGGATGGCGAAGTGGGGGAAAGCACAGAGTTGCGCGCGCGGTAGCCCTCCCCATGGCCGCAGCTCAGTGCCCCCGCCGGCGATCCCACTCGTCCTGGGCGAGTTGGTGAGCGGTGCTGCTGGGCCCGCGGGCTGGCCCGCGGCCGCCAGCCACCTGACCACTGGGATGAAGGCTTCGGGCCTGTGCCTCAAAGGAGCCAGCGCCAGCTGTCGAGGCAGCCGGAGGTGCGCAGAAACCCACCGAGGGATAAAGGTGGCAGGTCACTCACCTCGGCCTTGGGCGCCCGCGTTCCGCACGCAGGTCGTTCAGCTGCACGCCCGCGCCGCATGCACACCGCACCCAGGGGCACCGGTCGCCAGAGGAGACAGAGGAGGCGGAGGAGGTGGAGGAGGAGGAGTAGGAGGAGGAGGACGACGACGATTGGAGTCAGCCGTCAAGGCCTTTGTGGGTCTTTCGCCATGGAAGCCTCTTGGAAGCCGATTGAGGCCATGAACTAGGCAGGGTGCTCTCTTGGTGCCATTTTGGATGCCTTTGGGGCCCTCTTAAGGCAAGTCTCGAGGCAGTTGGGGCTTTCGTGGGTCCCTCTTGGGCCCCCTTTGGGGCTCTCTTGGGGCCCTCCTTGGGGTCTTGAGGGCCTCTTGGGGGCCCCACCGACGCCGGCTCTCTGATCAAGTTCGCAGCCTGCCAGCCATTTTTGCGAGGCCACGGCCTCACCCGCTCCGCCCTGAAGGGGCCTGGGCGATCGCCCGAACGAGCGTCCCATTCCTATTCCCATTGACGGGCCTCTTAAGGCCATCGATGAAAGAAGGGAGCGCCGCTTATGTCAGCCCCGTCCACCAAGACCCTAAACATCGCCTCTTGGGGCGCTCTTGGGATGCTCTTGAGCCTTGAAACTCTCTTGAGCCATCTTGGAGCCATCTTGAGGCCTCAAGGGCCTATCGGAAGCGAAAAGGCAATAACACAAAGTATGGTTCCTTTTAGGTTTTGAAAGGACCGTGGCCTGTCTGGGGGTCCTCGGGAAGCTCCGTGGCCACCTGGAGCCGTCCTGGATCGGTCATGGCGCCTCGTGCGACTTGGGAGGCCACACTGGGCTAACGCCCTGACGGCTCGCGAAACCTCGCCACCAGACCCAAGGAGAGGGGTAGGGGAAGAGGTAAGAACTAACTCCCTAAGCCATCTACGCCCAAATGGCTGGTGGAATTACTTCGCCGTGTCCTGCTGCTGTTTGCGGCAATGCCGCATCCGCGCACGAGAAGGTGTCAGCGGGGGTGTATGGCGTATACATGTTCCTCTCAATGGGGGGGCGCAGTTTCAAAGGGCACCTGATCCTAGCGGCGCATGTGCATCGCAGCGGAAAGCCTGACCGATATCTGTTTCTTTAGGCAGTTTCCTTGCGGCAAGCGCAACGCAGACCTTCATATCACGTGTTGATCGCGTTACCCTATCATAGCCATCCCCTTGCAAGCACTGTCAGCAGGGCAGGGCAAGGATCACGCCCAGCACCATGGACTGTTTCACGAATTTGACAGGGGCCTGCATCGCTTACAGCTGCGAGGCAAGCGCGCACACGGCTTTTCCAGGCGGCGCCAGCATTCTCGTCTCAACATCTTTTTTCCAGGTCTTCCAAGCCCAGGGGGTCCGCTCGACAAAGAGTGCAGGTGCACGTGCGTCGCGCTGGCCATGGCGCCTTGGCGGCTCTACGGAGTCGTTGCATTGTTCTGGCCTCCGTGGTTCTTAGCGTGTTGCGGTTCTCGCCTTGTTCAACTGACTCATCGACTACCAGGCAGTTGTTGGGCTATTCATATTACAATATCGTGGTTGCACATGCTAGCGTTCGCTGACATCGGGCTCTGTTTAACGTCGGCCTCAGCGCAGAAGAAAAAGGTTGAAGGAAGAGGTGGAGGGGCAGGTGCAAGAGAATGAGTAGAGAGGGGGGATTTAAGTATGAGAGGTGGAGGAGTTGGGTATAGAGGGACGAGGGGGGGGAGGAGGAGGAGGAGGAGGAGGAGGAGGAGGAGGAGGAGGAGGAGGAGAACGAAGAAGAAGAGGGGGAGGAGGAGGAGGAGGAGGAGGAGGAGGAGGAGGAGGAGGAGGAGGAGCAGGAAGAGGAGAAGGAGGAGGAGGACGAGGAGGAGAAGGAGAATGGGGAGGGAAAGAAGGAGTGGGGATGAAGAGAGAGAGAGAGAGAGAGAGAGAAATTGAAGGAGGAGGACCAGGGAGGAGAGGAGGCGAGGGCCGAGGTGAAGGCGGAGGCAGAGCAGGAGGCGGAGGAGGTGGAGGATGAGACCGACGGGGAAGGATGTCCGGGACCTCATGGAGCTGACGGTGGCCAAGATGGACAACTATCTCGTGATCAACGTCATACTGCTGACGTCCGCCGTGCTGCTCATGAGCGAGGGGCGGCCAGAGCCAGAGATGTCGCCCGAGTGGCTGCACTGGCTGTATGCCATCACCAACGCAGGACCCCTCTCCTCCTCCTCCTCCTCCTCCTCCTTCCCCCCCCCCCTCCCTCCCCCTCCCCCCTCCCCTCCCTCCCTCCTCCTCCCTCCTCCTCCTCCTCCCCCCTCCCTCCTCCCTCCTCCCTCCTCCTCCTCCTCCCTCCTCCCCTCCTCCTCCTCCTCTCCTCCTCCTCCTCTTCCTCCTCCTCCTCCTCCTCCTCCTCCTCCTCCTCCAGGCATTCCCCCTCACCCTCCCTTCTCTTCCTCTGCCAGTTACCCCGAGATCCTGGCGCTGCATGTTTCGCGACCGGGCGTTTTCGCGCGGCTTCGGGCCTCGGGCCCTTCACAGATCGATCCGGCTTGGAAACTGGTGCAGAGAGATGAGGTCCGAGGCTCTGGCGATGATATATTGCGATGTCGCATTTGTTTCGTAACGTCGGGTCTCAGGGTTAGGTCTCTTGCGAATGCAGCCGCCGCCGAGAGAGAGTGTGTACGCACGCAGGCCGCCGCTTGTCGAGCCTCTTGCAAGGCGTGCCCAGCCCAGGCGACGAAGGGTTCAGCGCCCTGCGACAGGAAGGTGTTCGCATGAGCAGTGACCCAGACTACACGTGCATGCGCATGCCAGTCTAGCATTGCAGATGGTTTGCTTCCGTGGGGCCGATGGATAGCGTAAAAACTCTTCCTCCCCCATCCCCCGTGCGGGTTTTAGTTTATGTGATTTGGTATGCTGACTAGTAGACAGTTAAACTAAGTAAACAACAACTGGTTCCAGGTGCTACGCATGCGCATACTAAGACAGAAACGCTGAACGAGGAAACTATAAAGCTTGCTATAGTTAGCGATGTGTTCCGCTAGCGACCCCACACGTTAAATAGTGGTGGACCATGCGATGAAGATCAGATGATGGTCTCTGTCCCAAACGGGCTGGAACGCAGAAAGGAACAAGTGAACCTTTTTGTAAAAGGCGGCCTGCGAACAGATTTCTTTGCGGCGGCCTCACACATGGATTCCTCTTGTGCCGGCCTTACATCTCAAAAACAGTTCTCGTGGCGAAATGCAAGTTGATTCCTGTTGTGGCGGCCCACAAGCTGATCCTACTGTGGCGGACTTAAAACCAGGTTCCTCTGGCGGTGGCCCTCATAAAGATTCCTCGTAATGGCGACGTTGCATTTTGATTCCTGTTGCAGTGGGTTGCACATGCATGTTGTTTTTTTTATGGCGGGATTCACAATGACTTTTGTCGCGGTCTACATATAGATGTGCTTCCGTGGCGGCCTCGCACAGTGATTCCGTTTGTGGTGGCCCACAGGCAGGTTCTTTTCAATTGCCGCGTTACACATGGATATTTGTTGCGTCGGGTTGCGGCATGGTTCGTTTCTGTGGCGGTCTACACATAGATGCCATTGTTTTGTGGCGGCCTCGAACAAAGCATATTCTTTCTGCGGTGGTCCACCGATCCCTTGCAGTGGAGGCGTTGCAGATTGATTCCGTTTGCGGCGGAATGCATCTGCATTCCTTATTGTGGCGGCCTTCAAATCGATGTTCGTCATTATGTGTGGAGGCCTATTCGAGGATTCCTTGTGTGGCGATTTTGCAAGACGGATTGTTTGTTCGCATGTATATTCGTCGTAAAACAAAACCATGTTAGGCGGCCTTGCATGCCGATCCACTGTGTGGCAGACTACACATTGATTGCTTGTGTGGAGGCCTCACACTCGGAATCTGACTGTTCATAAGTCGTGTGCCTTTCTTTGAATTTCATACACATGGTAGCCCACAAATGAGTTCGGTTGACTGGCTGCCTTCAGTATTGTTTCTCTCCGTAGCGGAATACGAATTGATGGCGCAGTATACAAGCCCAGAGTAGAGGGTGCAATGTGGACGGCTTGTTGCGTCAATGCAAAATGTGTAGTGTTACTACTACGGATTGAGCATTTCGCGTCGCAGTACCATTGCCACTCTGCTGCGCGCTCCATCTCCATCCTCTGCGCTCCTCCCAATTGACCTTGCGATTCTGCGTCCCGGAGCTCCAGAACCTCCCACAACGCCTCCCCCGCAGCTGCTCCTTCGTTGTTCGTTTGCTTGCTGATCTTCTTCGTGGATTACACATTGAACTCTCTACTGGCGGATCACAAGTTGGTTCAATCTGCGGCGGCTCTATTAGTTAATTTATAGCGCGGCAGGTTGGAAAAGGATCCCCTGTGCGGCGGCTTATAACTTGATTCCTTCTGTCGCGGGTCACTGAGGATTCATTGTGCTGTGGGTTGCACATTGGGTATATCTGCCGCGTATTATTCATTGATTCCTTTTGTGGTGGATTGCGCACTGGCTTTTCCAGCGGACTTACAGCATGTGAATCCCTTCTGTCAGAGAGTGGAGTTGCGTCTTCTTGTTGTTGGTTGTAAACAAGTTTCTTTGTGAACATCTCATATGTCGATACAGCTTTGTACGATATCACAAACACATTACGTATTCGGTGGATTTACATGCAGGCTGTTCTTGAAGATCACAGGTTGATGTCTTTTGTTGCGGGTTACGTGTTGGTCTTTTTTTGGGGCCTTTTACACAAGTATGTTCTGCGCATCGGCCTTACAACACGAATTCTTGTTGCGGCCATTTTTTGGTAGCATCGAACATCCAAACATATACGACAAGCCATGCTTTTCCAACGTTGCAAACCCCATGTTTACACAGCAGTGTTCCCCCTCGTCTGGAAGCCGAACATCTAGAAGCCCAAACCTTACACACCAAGAAAGAAGCACCGCAGGTTCACATCCCGTGTTTCTAGATGCATGACTCTGGCACTTCGGTGCACAGAAATGCCATACTTTCGTGCAGTGTGGAGCTCAAGAGATTGTTGACACGTGGCGTGTTATACCATATGCTAGGGTACCGGGTGGAGCCCCGTTTTGGCCCACGGCATGGCTGACCCCCTCTGGGACCTCTGGGGCCCCCCTCCAGCAGCCTACAGCAGTCCTGGAGAGCGCACAGAAGCCACCAGCAGAGCAGCCCAACAGCCCAGACGACGCCCCAAGATTGCCTCAATACGGCCAAAGAGTCAGGAAGACTGATATCGGGTTGGGAGGATCGGGTTGGGAGAAATGAGAATATCACTACCCGTAGGCGGCCGAAGGTATCGTGCATCGCATCCGAATTATATTTCTCGTGCCCTTTATTCTCCGAACCCCTTCCTCCCAACACGATAATTGTTCTCCTCACAGAGGCATCGAAGACGCCCCGAGAAACCTGCAAGATCCTCCCCGAAAGGGCCCCAGGAGGCAAAGGTTGCCACGTTCTTTCTACGTTCTTTTCTCCGGGAAAACGTACATGTTCCAAGGACGGCTCGGGAGGCCCAGGAGCCCCGCAGGAAGGCCCCAGGACGGCCTTAGAGAGCCCAAATGCTGCCCAAGAGGCGCCCAAGATGGCCCAAGAGGGCCCACAGAGGAGCCCACGAGGGGAAATTCAAAGTGACATGTCTAGCCCTCCGCCACGAGTGGGCCCCCGAGGCCACAGCAGGAACCCAAGAGGCTCCCAAGGGCCCCAAAAGAGGCCCCAAGAGCCCCCCCACACGGCCCACAAGAGGCCAAAAGAAGCTTCAAAAGTTGATACATTAGGCGTTCGAGAAGCTTGCCAAGAGACCCCAACTTACAGGTATCCAAGAAGCCTCTGGCCCCAAACTTAGCCACGGCGGCGGTATGGGCCGAAGGCCACAGCTAAGCAAGCAATATGCTTGGCGACGGACCCATCGCTATGCAGTCATGTGTAGCGGTGGGCGCGGGTCTCTCTATTCATGGATTGCACGCCACGGGGCAGCGCAGAAAGCGGGCTGCTGCGGAGCACGCGTGCATGGGCGCGCTGAAGTGAAGTTTTTGTGGGGCACGATCAGCGTGAAGGGTGCGCCAAACAATCCAGATGTCCCCGCGCGACCACGCCCATGGAGGCCGCAGGTGGAGCTCCGCTGGGCACGACCCGTGCGAGGCGTGTTCCGAAATGGATGGGGGGGACGCCGTGCGAAGTTGCCCAGTGGTGCCATGGGTGGAGCTCCCTCTGGGTCATGATTCGCGTAACGGGTGGGCTGACAGGCTGGGTGACATTGTACGAACTTTGTCTCTGGGCCTGTAGGTGGTGCTCCTTGTGGGCACGATCCTTGGGCGCAATGGCCAGGGAGCGGGGGCGATGCAATGCGAACCTTGCCTTTGGGGCCGTCGGTGGAGATCCCTGGGGGAGCGGAAAGCTAACTTTTTCCTGGGGCCGTTCGTGGAATCCTTTGCGGGCCACGATCCGTGTGAGAGGTGTGCCGAAGTGAGCGGGGCGACGCTATGAAGCTTCCCTTTGGTGCCGCAGCTGCATTTACTTGAGGGGTACAATTCGCACGAGGTGCGTGCCACTAGGCGAACTTTGCATTTTAGGGGACGAAGGTGAAGCTCCCTCTGGGGCGCGATCCCTGTGAGGGATGTGCCGACATTGGCGGGTGGACGCTAAGCCAAGCTTGTCGTTGGGGTTGTCGGTGGAGCCTTCTGAGGGGCACGATCCGTGTGACAATATATATATATATATACATATGCATATACATATGTTCATATATATACATACATATACATACATCTCTATATATATATATATATGTATCTCTGAGTGAGGGGGCCGAACGGTCATTGTCCCTGGGTGCGTGGCTGAAGTGCGGATCCGTGGTGAGGATTCTGCTTGTTGTTGTCGTCGTCCCCCCCGCGACCCGGCCAGCGACCCACCCGCGACCCACCTCGCGACCCACCCGCGACCCACCCCGCGACCCGGCCCGCGACCCACCCGCGAGCCTTCCCGCGACCCGCTCGCGATCCACCCGCGACCCACCCGCGACCCGGCCCGCGACCCACCCGGGACATCTTCGCGACCCACTTGCGACCCACCCCGCGACCCAACCGCGACCCACCCGCGGTCCACCCCGCGACCCGCTCGCGACCCACCCGCGACCCACCCGCGACCCGGCCCGCGACCCACCCGCGACCCACTGTCAACCCACCCGCGACCCACCTGCGACCCAACCCGCGACCCACCTACATTGTTAAAACAAAAAATCGGCGCCTGCGGCGGGCTCGTTATATAGCTTGAAAAATGTTACGCCTGCGGTGGGCTTCTTCAAAAGCTCGCAGACTGCCGACGTCCCCGCCGCCCCTCACTCTCATCCGCAACTGCGGATAAGAGTGAGGGCATCTACATCTATCGATAGAGATATAGATATAGGTGTGTATATATATATACACATACATATCGTCCGAAGACGAGCAGTTTGGACTACAGCAAGAGCTAGCTAGAATCTAAGCGCGCGAAGCGAGCGCACGGTTGTAGTTTATATGGTGCGGATCCCCAGGAGCTGGGACATGTTGCGTTTTGAATTGTTTCTCAAATTCAAAACGCTGAGAATCATGGAGTGCCGTGCAATTTGTTCGATGTTCCATGTTGTCCATGCTTGTGGTTGTTCCCCCCAGCTGCCCCTGGGCTGCTGCCAGGAAATGCCACACAAGGAATGTGTGTGCAAGGCCGCCAGGGAGGAATCCTCGTGTAAGGCCGCTACACGAGGAATTAGCGATTGCGAGGCCGCCACAACAAGCAATCCTTTGGTACGGCAGCCACACAGAGTTGCAAGTACCTGAGACCGCCACGAAACAAGGCAGGCGTATCAACATCACAAAAACAATTTCAGGACTAGAGTCATACAAACGAAGAGAAGCCAAATCGTCAAATAGTACAAACGCTTGCGAATCGGTCCCGAACGAGAAGACCTAATAACATTAACCCCTCCCCCTACCCCTCGTCCTTCTCCACCTCATCCTCTCCGTTCTCATGAGAGAATACACCACCAAACGCAGGGGCCATGCTCTACATCCTGCTCAGTGTTTGGCTCGGCATGCACGCTTCGATCGCGGCGCACTCATTCGGGGTGCGGATGTTGACGCAGTACGTGCGGTTGCCGATCCCCACCAAAGAGCAGATGGATATCGGCAGGGCGAGAGCGAACCAGTACGAGGAGCAGGAAGTCGGAGACATGTTCCGGATCCCAGTGCTGAAGTTGCAGGCCAAGCGGCTCAACGCCGTCATGAACAACGACACCAATCAGGAGGACGACGAGTCCGAGAGTGGCGATGCCCCAACGAGTAGGCGAGAGCAGGCATCGAAGAAGAAAGATCAGCAGAAACATGATCTTCGGAGACCCGCTCGGATTTCGTAGATCGACGCTGAACCCCGCCTGGCTGCGCCTCCAGCTCTGCCACTGGCGCGCTCCGCGCGCCAGGGGAGGGGGATCCAGCGTCGATGCAAGAAATCCGTGCGGATCACCGAAATTTGATGCTTATGCCCCAAGCAGTGTTTGGACTAACGGCTTTTCTCCCTCCTCTGAGGAATTGGGTTTGTTTGGCGGTGAGGCGGCTATGTTGCCGCCGTCGCTGCCCCGTCGCCACTTCGTCGCCGCCCGTCGTCTGGGCCTATCTGTCGGTCTGGCGGCTATGCTGCCGCCGTCGCCGCCCCGTCGCCGCATCGTCGCCGCCCGTCGTCAGGACCTATCTGGCGGTCTGGCGGCTATGTTGCCACCGTCGCCGCCCCGTCGCCGCCTCATCGCCGCCCGTCGTCTGGGCTTACCTGCCAATCTGGCGGCTATTATGCCGCCATCGCGGCCCCTTCGCAGCCTCGCCGCCGCCACATAGGTTGAACCACATAGATTACACAACAGAGGATGCACAACATAGATTGCGCAACATTTGTTGCATCACATAGACAGCGCAACTTAGATTGCACAATATAGATTGTACAGCATATGTTGCACCACATGTAGCGTTTTTTACAACCTAGGTTTTGAACAACATCGACTGCACCACATCGATTGCACAGCATACGTCGCACCATTTAGATAGTACCACACATACTGCTCCTTAGATATTGCACCACATAGACTGCACCACATATATTGCAGCACATGCATTGGTTCACACAATTTGCACAACATATTCTACACCGCGTAGATAGCACAGCACATATTGCACCACATATGGCTCCACATGGACTGCACCGCATAGGTTACACCACCTAGATAGCACCACAGATATTGTACTATGTGGGTTGCACATCGTGGAGTTCACACCATATATATATGTATATATATATGTATATGTGCCAAAAGGTTGGCTGCGCTGCCTAGAGTGCACCACGTCTATATATATATATATATACCAAAACAGATTGTACAAGCTACATCGCTCACCATAGACAGCATCAAGTACATGGCACCACCTGGATTGTCCCACACAAGTAGAACCACATCCCATGTGTCTAGAAGCACACTATTTGGGGCCCACACGGGCTAGCATGTTGATTATTGTGTTTCAAGGCAGCGACCGTCGAGCACATTCAGCGCTTCCGTGAGTTGCAAGCGAATTGGCAGGCCTATGACGCATACACGCGGGTGTGCATGGCGATGGGTACGAATCAGCTGTTGCAGGCCACCAGCTATTACTGTCTGACAATGCTAATATGTGAGAATCACACACCCTCCCGTGCCGCAGTTGTCGTTGTCATGGCGATGAGCGCTTGGCTCATCATCCGATTGGACGTCTGCATCTCGCGGAAGTTGTTGGCGTTGGCGGCTTTACTCTTGTTCTTTGGGCCAACAGCGGCGATGGCATGCCTCCTTCTGGATCCACAGTATACGGATTACGACGTGCCAGATGTTTGGAAGAGTTTGGGGGATTACATGGTGCCCCTTGTGTTTCTCACCCAGTTGGCGAGGACCTTAGAAGATTCCAGGATCAGGAGGTGGTGGTCGAAGGAGGGAAGCAGCATAAACATAAACGTTCGGAGGTCCGTGCGGGTTTCTTGGATTGGCGCTGGACCCTCCTCTCTCGTGTGCGGGTTCCAGCGCCGATCACATACATTGTCGCGGATCTCCGAAAGTTTATGTGTATGTCATTTTCTATCAACGGTTCAACGATGAGAAAGTGGAAGTGAAGCAGCAGCGCCTACTCAAAAAGAAGACGGAGGGATTTGGATCGGTCGGAGTCGGATTGGAAACATATCAGCCAGGATATTCGATCGACCCTTCGACGAGCAGCATGCTCTGCGATCGGGGTCGGCTAGATCGGGATACGCCCTGGAGGAATGGAGGGAAAAGCAGGAGGGACGGCGAGACGGGGAGGAGAGGAGGGGGTGGGGGAGGAGCCGAAGAGTAAGGAACGGCATGAGCATACAGTTTCCGAGGTCCGCGCGGATTTCTTGGATCGCCGTGGGACCCCCTTCCTTGGCGCGGGCGGCACTGGAGGCGCTGCCAGGGGGTCCAGCGCCGATACAAGAATTCCACGCGAACCTTCGGAAGTTTAAGTTGATGTAGTTGCTATTCTTCTGGGGAGGAGGGGAGGCGGCGGAGAAGAGAGGAGGGAAGGGAGGGAGGGAGGCAGAGGGAGGGACATCATCAAGAGAAAGGGAGAGAGAGAGAGGGAGAGAGAGAGAGAGAGAGACAGAGAGACAGAGACAGAGTGTATATCTGTGGTGAAAGAGCGGAAGGGGAGGCCTAGGCGGGGACGCGCTGCTCAAGAGTGGCTGTCGCCGAGGGCGTTTGGCGCACACGTGGGATATTCCATAAAGGGCCTCGCCTTCGTGGGATCGAGAGGCTGGCATCTCTTGCTCGGCCGGTGGAAGCAAAACGAGCGCGGCTCCGCCTGCGGAACGCTGGCGGAAGCAAACATCCGCCGTTGAAGAGATGCCAGTTTGGGGGAGGGCAGGGTTTGGGGAGCCAGCCACGTGCGGCGCCGCTCGGGAGTCTCGTAATGGGGGGGCGATTGCTGGGGTGGAGATCCAGGATGCAGGAAAAGGGATCCAAATGCGCCACCCCAGAAACATCCCAACAAAAGCACACCGCCTCCCCGCCAGCCCAAACACCCCCCAAAAAATACGCCTGCCATCCAACCATCACTCAGGCGCACCAGTCGCGCGACCACCCGCACGAGCCCCGAAGCGTGAAACACCGCAGGCATGAGTACGCAGCCACCTTCCTTCTTCCTTTGTTTATCGCCCCCCCCCATTAAGCGACGTCGTTGACGCGCTATCCCTTGTCTCACTGGCATTTCCGCGCGTGGCTCGTCCGCCAGGGGGGCGGGGCGCGTGGTGCTACCCGCGCCGCTGGCGGTGTTTCGTACCGTGGAGCGCTTTTCGCCAATTCTATCCGGGCTTGACCCCCCCATCCAGACACAACAAAAACAATGATCGCTCATCCCCAGGGGGTCTGCCCAGGGCAACGCTAGGGGGGGATGCATCGACCCTCAATCGCGCATTGATCGCCGACAGGGTCCTGATAGCCAACCCCGGCATCGTCGATGTATCGCTGATTACAGCTCGATGTTTCTCCCCCTGAGTCGCCGCGGTGACACGCTGAGCAGACGGCCCCGACCTCAGTCGGACGCACCCCAACGAGGATGGACGCCCTCCCCTCCACCTCCATCGCACATCCCCAGGCTGGGTCCACATTACTTTGGTCCGGCCGCGAACCCCACAGAGTCGGGTTTCAGGGGCAACTTAGGGGTGGATAGGCTCAGCGGGGAATGCATCGACCCCTAATCACCCACTGATCGCCCATTGGGGCCCGATAGCCGCCCCGCCCAGCCTAGGAACGTGCGGATTCGCTATCGGGGGCCTATCGCCGATCTATCGACGATGTACCGCCGACTCCAGCTCGATGCTCCCTCCCGCCCCACTGCGCCAGTCCCCCCCCCGAACGCTCCCCCTTTAGGACTGGCGTCGCCACACACCCCGCTGTTGCAGCAGGGGCCTCCCTCTGGTGGCGGCGGGGTGCCCACGGAGCAAGCCGGTGTGACGATCTGGCGCTCATCGCGCGCGCAGTGATCGGAGTCTTTGCTCAGCGCGTCGTGGCAGCGTCAGCGTGCCCTGGAAGAAGATAGAGCGCGTCGCTGTGCTTCGTGGGACGGGAGTGTGGGAAAGACTGGGCATGCTGGCAGCACGTCGCTCCTAAATCGTGGTGGGCCAGAGCTGGTGGCGCGGCACGCTAAGCAGAAGCTCCCCACGGTGGAAGCCTTCGTATTGAGACCACGCAACGCGGATCCCAGGAGGAGGAGGAGGAGGAGGAGAAGGAGGAGGATGGGAGCAGGAGGAGGAGGCGGAGGAGGAGAAGGAGGAGGAGGAGGAGAGGAAGGCGCCAATGCAGCGTGTCTGGGCTGATGGCAGGCCGTCCAGGCCGCCGCGCGGGCCAGGCAGGCGGCGCCAAGCCTGGCCCGGGCAGGGGAGGCAACGCCCGAGCTGACGGCGGCAATGGTCGATGCCAGGATGGTAGAGCTCCGAGCTGACGGCGCCTGACGGCTTTGCAACCCCCCTTTCCTTCCCCAGCCTTTCCTCCTCCTCCTCCTCCTCCTCCTTCTCCTCCTCCTCCGCCTCCTCCTCCTCCTGCTCTCCTCCTCCTCCTCCTCCTCCTCCTACTCCTGGGATCCGCGTTGCGTGGTCAATACGAAGGCTTCCACCGTGAGGAGCTTCTGCTCAGCGTGCCGCGCCGCCGGTTCTTCCTCAGAGGTGTCTTTGGCCCACGGTGCCCCCAGGATTCTTTGGGAGGCCCACGTGCCGTCCACCCCATCACGAGGCCCAGAGCCCCAGGGCCTCCAAAAAATGGCGCGGCCATCCCGGGAAGCTTTTGGAGTCGGGGCCACATCTAGCAACGCCCGGCTTCTCATCTTGAATTCCCTCCCTCCTCGCCCGCACTGTAGCCTGAACAACAGATTCCGCTGAATCCACAGGCAGATGCCAGCCGCATGTGCGATGTGCTGCGCCGCGTCCGCTGTGCGCGGATCCTGCTGTGGCTCCTCCCGCTCCTCCTCCCCCTGCTCTTCTTCCTCCTCATCCTTCTCCCCTGGTCGTCTTTCTCCTCGTCCTCTCCCCTCCTCCCCACCTCCCCCGTCGCTTCTGAGGCCTGGGTCGGCTTTGTGGTGTACCTGGCGTGGGGGAAGAATGCCGACGGCGTCGTGCTTCCCATCAAGCTCCTCCTGGGCGGGGGAAGAGGGCGGCGCCACCGTCTCAGAGGCCCTGGGCGGCCCTCGACCTCTGCGTGTGAACTCTTTACTCTCCTGCGCCAAACTCCCCCACAGATGCAAGGTCCAGGTAGGGGTGATCCGAGGTCCTGCTGCGGGAGCCTGCTAAAAGTTTGCAGGCGACCATCAAAAACGGATCTTGGACGAAAAACTACCACCAGGGAGAAGAGCCATAGACCTCTGGAGCCGCGCACGGGAAACGAAAAGCATCGTCAGATGTCTGGGGGCGCGGAGGGCTCTTCAGGGGTGCGGAACGGACAGGCCTGGGTCCGCAAACCTGGGCCCAGAGAAGAGAAAACGGTCGGCAGAGAGGGGGCCGCGACGGAGCGAGGAGGCGGGGATGGGCCGACAGAACGATCGCGATGCGAAGCGCGAAACACGGACCCAGACATCCGACGTCTTGACTTGTTCACAGCGCGGCTCCCCAGAAGTCTGAAACCCTTCCCCAGAGCCGATGTTTCACCCCGAGTCGTCAGTCGGCGGTCCCGGGGCCCAAGGAGGACTTCCGGAGCCCGAGAACCGCGAGCAGTGCCTGTCTTGTTCTTTGTCAAGACGCCGCATTCCTGGCGGGGATGGAGCGGGGGCGGAGGGGTGGCACGGAGGGAGCGAGGATCAGAATCAGAGCGTGGAGCCGAGGCCGGGCTGGGCCCCCGCCCCCCCGGCGCCCCTCCCCGCCCGTCAGGTTCCGGGCCGTGCTCTACCTCGACGTCTTCGGCAGGCTCTCCCAGACCCCGGAGTCGGCGGCGCAGGGCCGCGCGCGCGACCGCCTGGAGCGGATGGCGTCGCGGGGCTCCGCGTGGCAGGAGTCGTGGGACGGCCCAGCCGACGCCCACCCCGAGAGGCCTCCCAGGGGAGCCCCAAGCGGCCCAGAGCGCCAACTCCCTGCAGTAAAACGTAGGTGTTCCGCATCAACAGCTTCTCGCCTGCCCGACGCTCCAAGACGGCCCCTGCCATGACGACCCCCCCGCCTCGCTCCACGAACGCAGGCAGGCGGCAAGAGGGCAGCAGGGGCAACGCTGGGGGAGGATGGCTTCAGGAGGGGGACGCGTCGACCCCCAATCGCCAGTTCATCGCCGATGGGGGCCTTGATAGCCCCGCCCAGGAGCGGAGCTGCTATCGGGGGGCAATCGCCAATCTCTCGGTGATGTATCGCCGATTGCAGCTTGGTGCCCCCCCCCCCCCTGAGCTGGTCCACCCCTAACGTTAAGTCGGGCGCGTCCCTCTACAGGAGGACAATTCAAAAATAAACCAAAAATACTCGGGTACGATTTTTCAAATTTATGATGACTTTGTTTCATTTGTTTTGCGTACTTGATATTCTCCGTCCAAAATCCGCCTGTAGGAGGACATGCCCGACCTAACCCTAACGTTGCCCCTCACCTCCGAGGACCTTCCAGAGTAGTGGATTCGTCTGTGTGTCATCGGGTCTTTGTGTCGGTGTTTCGTCGGTCCCTGGAAGCGCTCCTGCCGCGGGATGCGTTCCAGCAGCTGCGCCTCGCCGAGGGTATTCCAGGGATGCCCCAATCGTCCCGAACGGCCGCCGCAGACCCGAATTACAGACAACCCGCAGGGTAAGTTAGGATGAGCAATATTCCAAGGCCACCTGTGCATTCTCGCCCCTTCGGCCCATCCTTAGCGACTTCCGCTGGCCAACATCGTTCGAAATCACATGGCCCTCCAGGGCCCTTGCATCCTTATCGCGTATCCGTACCCATTCCTATACGGGCTGACTGCATGACCCGAAAGCCGGGTGGCCTCTCGCTGGCATGATTCTTATTGCAGCCAGTCCCCCCCCTCCCCTATACCGACTACGCGTAAGAGTGACCCGTCGCCGGAGTGACCTTTGGTGCGGGCACATTGGGGTCCCCCGATCGCTAAACGCGATGCGATCGCAGGTGTCCTTCTCGCTTGTGTTTGGTCCCCCCGCGGCACCCCCGAAAAGCCGCGCATCAAAGGTCACTCTCACCCCCCCTCGCTCGCCGCCGAGTCAGGCTCCTGGAATGGAGAGTCCTGGCCCCTGGGACCCTGAGCTCCCGGGCCCGCAGGGCAGCCGGCGGCGCGGGCTGGCTCTTTGGCGCTCGATTCGCGCCGGCGCCGTCTGGGAATGAGCTACTCTGAGGCATTCCCAGTCGGCGCCAGCGCGAATCGCGACGTGACGGGCCACTCTTGCGTGTATAGCCGGCTGTATGGCGTTCCCCCCGCAGCATATAGATCGCCGGGGCAAGGCCTGCCCTGGGCCTACCCTAGGCCTACCGCAGGGGACCCTCCAAGGCCAGGGTTAAGTCGGGCATGTCCCTCTACAGGAGGGACGTTCAAAAATGGAGTACTTAAAAGAGATAGTCTGGCGACGATTGTTTGACCATGCTCTTGCTGAGCATTTTTTGATGATTTTTTTGTTTATTCCTCCAGATGCCGCCTGTAGGAGGGCCTGCCCGACCCAAGGCGAGGGGCTCGTCACGGAGGGGGCCTGTCGCGGAGGGCGGCGGGCCGGGCTGCGCCCGCCAGGAGCCGTCGGGCTCCCCGCGGTCGCCGCCCCCGGGCGCGGCGAGCGATGGCCCGGAGGGCTCGTGGGGCTCCGCCCGCTCGGGGGACGCCGCCGCGCCCGCTGCCAGGTCCCGCGCGGGGGGGGGGCGTGCCTCTTCTCGAGCTGCCAGGAAAACACAAACTCTTTGGCGATCGGCGCGGGTTTCTTGGATCCGCGCTGGGCCCCCCCCGGGCGGCGCCTCCGGCGCGGGGTCCGGCGCGGATCCAAGACCTCCGCGCGGAGCGCCAACAGTTCATGTTTATGTGTTTGTTCTTTCTTCCGTGTTCGAAGTCGGAGCTACAGACCCTGACCTTCCAGAGTGCTAAACAATAGCATTCCAGAGCTGTACTAGATCTATCTGGGCTGCCTCAGACCTCGACGGGAACTGAGCGCAGGGTCCTGCAGGATCCTGCAAAGCCTGACTGACCCAGGTCTGGATTGTCCCTGGTGAATAGATCCCCGACGGAGGTCAGGGGCAACGATAGGGGGGGATCGGCACAAGGGGGATGCATCGACCCCCAATCGCCCATTGATCGCCGATAGGGGCCTGATAGTTAGCCTCCACCTGCCCAGGAGGGTGCGGATTCACGATCGCAGGCCTATCGCCGATCTGTCGGCGATGTATCACCGATTCCAGGTCGATGCATCCCCCCTTGTGCCAGCCCCCCCCGGAGGAGGGGCAGCCGAGGCATCGGCAGGCTTCGGAGCCGCCGCGGCCTCCACGCGCCCTGCTCCGAGACGGGGGGGAGGCGGAGGAAGGAATAAGAGGAGGGAGGAGCACGTCAGGAGGGGGGGGGAAAGGAGGGAGACGGGAGGGGGGGGCGGAGGGAGGAGCAAATTCGGGCGATCGCAAGCATGGGTCGAGGGAGCGTGGATTAGCGAGACGGGTCCCGCTTCCACAGGAAATCGCGGATTTCCGCCGCCAAACACGCGGCGGCACAGGCCGCATTTGGGGGAGGGCACCTCCCCCGATCCATGTTTGCGCGCCCCCGGCAATTATGAAGGACGGAGCAGCGAGGGAAGATTGTGGACGGGGGAAAGGGGGGAAGGAGCAGATATCGTGGCTGTGAGGATACTGAACCGCCGTTGTCCCTGTTCGCTCGGCCCCGACCTTTTTCCACGGATCCCGGGTACGCGCCCTCTTCAGGAGCAACGGAAGAGGGGGGGGAGGGCGCATCGGTTCCCAATCCCCGACTCATCGCCGACAGGGCCCCGTCAGGCCCCCCCCAGAGCACACCGATCCTTGCCATGACGACCCCCGCGCCTCGCTCCACGAACGCAGGCAGGCGGCAAGAGGACAGCAGGGGCGACGCTGGGGGAGGATGGCTTCAGGTGGGGGGGACGCATCGGCCCCCAATCGCCAGTTCCTCGCCGATGGGGGCCTTGATAGCCCCACCCTGCCCAGGAGCGGAGCTGCTATCGGGGGGCTATCGCCGATCTCTCTGCGATGTATCGCGGATTCCAGCTTGATGCTCCCCCCCCTGAGCTGGTCCACCCCTAACGTGAAGTCGGGCGCGTCCCTCTACAGGAGGACAATTCAAAAGTAGACCAAAAATAGTCAGGGTACAATGTTTCAACATTTATGTTGACTTTGTTTGATTTGTGTTGCGTACTTGTTATTTTCCGTCCAAAATGCGCCTGTAGGAGGACATGCCCGACCTAACCCTAACGTTGCCCCTCACCTCCGAGGACCTTCCGGAGTGGTGGATTCGTCTGTGTGTCATCGGGTCTTTGCGCCGGTGTTTCGTCGGTCCTTGGAGGCGCTCCTGCCGCGGGATGCGTTCCAGTAGCTGCGCCTCGCCGAGGGTATTCCAGGGATGCCCCAATCGTCCCGAACGGCCGCCGCAGACCCGAATTACAGACAACCCGCAGGGTAAGTTAGGATGAGCAATATTCCAAGGCCACCTGTGCATTCTCGCCCCTTCGGCCCATCCTTAGCGACTTCCGCTGGCCAACCTCGTTCGAAATCACATGGCCCTCCAAGGCCCAGCTCCATGCGTCCCCCCCTGAGCTGGTCCACCCCTAACGTTGCCCCTCACCTCCGAGGACCTTCCGGAGTAGTGGATTGGTCGGTTTGTCGTCGCCTCCTTGCGTCGGCGTTTCGTCGGTCCCTGGAGATGCTCCTGCGTCGAGATGGGTTCCGGCAGCTGCGCCTTGCCGAGAGCGTGCCAGGGATGCCCGAATCGTCCCGGACGGCCGTTGAAGGCCCGAGTTGTGACCCGAAAGCCGATGGACCTCGCCGGCGTGACGGTTGTGCAGGCCCGTAGGGATCCCCTCAGCGCTCGCATGCACGCTCGGCTTCGGCCTCCCCGCGGCCCCAGGAACGCGCACCGAAAACCACCCTTGCCCAGAGCCGCTCGCGTGCAGCCGCGCAGCCTGCAGCCGACGGATGCTGACACCTTCCCGACCCCCGATGGCGAGAAGTGGCCCCCCTCCTCCTCCTCCTCCTCCTCCTCCTCCTCCTCCTCCTCCTCCTCCTCCTCCTCCTCCTCCTCCTTCTCCTTCTCCTCCTCCTCCCACTCCCGCGGGGATTTGCCCCCAGATCGGTGGATACGGTGGGTCAGCGCCGCGCTGATGCGGCGGCGGCCCCAGCGCCCGCGCTCGAGGCTGAACGTCGCCAGTGGGCTGGCATCGCTCGAGGTCGAAGAGTTGCCCGCGCTGTCGGAGAGCCGCTATCGCTCGAGGCTGAACCATTCGCGCTGTGTCAGAAGCAATCGCCGACGCCATCGCGATCCAGGTCCGCCGTGTGTTGGCATGAGGGGCACGGGCCCTGAGGGGAACGTGCCCAGGATTCTGTGGCCTCTTCCCCAGGACAAGTTTCCATCCTGGCTCGTTTGCTGGCAGTCCCGAATCCCGTGGAGGGCCCAGGGAGGCCACGGACACTGCAAACCTCAGCACCCTGTTCCAGCAGAACCCCCCAGCCGCTCCAAGGCGATGCACCTCGCCCCTCCCCCTTCTTGCCGCCAGACAATGAGCGCTTGCCTCCTCCCGGCCCGCTCGAGCGCGCGTGCGGACTGCCTCTGCCGCGCTGCGACATAAAAAGTTCCAGCAGAAACCCCCGAGACTTCGTAGGCGTTTATGCTTGCGATGCGGGGCGGGGCCCCTAGGAATCCTCCCCAGCGCCAACGTTTCATCCCGACCGGTGCTCTGATGGTACTGGGGCCCAGGAAGGGCACCCGGATGCCGAAAATTACCAGCAGCTTTCAGTCGTTGGTTTTTCCATTGCGAGCCCAAACATCAGAGGATGTGGTTTTCCGATCCGCGGCCCCAGAGGTCTGTCCGAGCGCATGTCTTCGTATTGGATCCACGTTTGATGGCCCAGGGGTTCGAAAATAGCCCCCAGAAGCCGAAACTACGGGAAAGCACCGCGAGTGCAAGAAATTCTGTCACACGCACGCACGCGCGCACGCACGCACGCACGCACGCACACGCACAAACACACACACACACACACACACACACACACACACACACACACACACACTTGCGCAGAAGAGGGGTAGGGGGAGGGGGGGGGGCGTCTCAGAAGCACCCCTGGTTCTTAGAAGGCGCGGGCCTTACCTGTAGATGTAGGGCTGGCGCCTTCTCAGAAGCAGCCTCCTTCTAAGAAGCCTTCCCCTCTCCCCCTACCCCCTTGTACGCCCAGCCAACGCACGCACACGTCGTCGGACGTCTGGGTCCTTTCCTTCGTGGCGAGTGTGGGTCACGGCCACTTCCCCGGGGCCGTTTTCTATCTTGGGTCGTTGGGTTGACGGCTCGGGGGCCCGAAATTGGCCTCCAAATGCAGGACAACTTGAGGCCCGGCCCTGGCAGCATCTAGGCCGACACGATAGGAAAACCCGAGGCCGAACAGTTTTCGGAGGTCTGGGTGATGTATGACGACGACTAGGAGATTCCCAGGGGGGCGTCGCCCAACACCGCCTTGGGCGAGCAGGCCCTCCCTCCCTCCCTCCTCACCCTCCCCGTCTTCTTCCTCCTCCTCCTCCCCCTCCTCCTCCTCCTCTTCCTGCTCCTCCCTCCCCCCCCCTCTCGTCCCTCTCACTCCTCCCCACTCCCCCACCCACCCACCCCGTGAACAAACACGCACATTGACACACACACACACAAACACACACACACACACACACACACACACACACACACGCACGCACGCACGCACGCACGCACGCACGCACGCACGCACGCGCGCGCGCGCGCACACACACACACACACACGCGCGCGCAAGCACAGGCTTGTTTTTGTTGGGGGGAGGAGCGTTGCGGCCCTGTGCGCAGCGACAGGGCGTCGAAGGTTGGAAGACAGCTAACCGCGCGCGCGCGCGTCCAGCCCGCCCGAGCGCGCATCGCAGTTTCGGTAAACACACACACACACACTCACGTGAAGGGGGGTGGGTCAGACTCCAAACGCCCCCCGTGTTTCGCTACAAGTTGGACGAATTGGGGCCCATGCCTGCTCGCGGGAAGCGGTGTCGCCATTTAAATGTGTTGCTCGTCCGCTCCATGATGTTTCCCAGCGGCAGGAAACTATGTGTTTAATCGTGCCCCTGTGTGTGTTTGCTTTGAGCTGCGATCCTACATCATGGGCAGACTCCCGGGGTATCGGCCACGCTGGTGGGATAGCACGCTGCACGACTCACCCGTGCCCATTATCAATGATGGCTACAGTATCGCAATACATTGTTACTCTTTACTCGGCCCGCTGTTGTGTTGTTTGCTAGCGTCCTGCTGTTCAAACCGGAACGACTACTGAACATCATGATGTATGGTATGAGGTTCGACCGTGATCTGTCAACCAAGCATGCACATGTAAACATGCATATACAGTCACACGTATACACATATGTATGCATGTACGAACGTCGACATACACAGTTACACATACATGCACATTTACGTGCACATGCACATGCGCACATACATATGCATGGAAGCGTGCATGCGAACTACACTTACACAGTTGTACACACGTACCCGTACATGCACCTCACACATTCTATATTTCTGTATGAACGCATCAACCGAAAAACGAACGATCGACCGACTTCGAACAGGTCGCCGCCCGACGGCCCAGCCGCCGAGCGCAGGCGCGCGCACCTGCAGGGCCTCGCGGCGCACTGCCGGCGGCGCCTCGCCGCGGTGTCCGACGACCTCGGCAAGTGGGAGGGCGACCCAGAGCGACCGAAGCAGGGGCGCAGAGGGCATCCAGCCCAGCTTTCCAACGCTCTGATGTTTTGTCCTTGATTTCGGCCTCGAGCCGGACGTTCCTTCAACGGGGGCGCTTTTCCCCCCACACGTTTTCAATCCTGTCACTTCTTCCCCAATCAGTGCTTGCACTGAAGGGGTCCTAGCGGAAATTGAAAGATTTGGCGAAAGTTTCCCGCCGATTTTGGTGGCCGCGGCTGGGTTCCCGGGGTCCCGGTTCCCGGGTTCCCGGGTTCCTGGTCATTGGTTCCGGGCCGATTTTGGTGGGTTCCGGGTTCCTGGGTTCCCAGTCGATCTCCTTATCGATCTCTTTATCGGTCCCATCATTTCAAAGCATTCATTGATTGGGGCTTTTCTCGGGTGTAATCTTTGATTTAGGCTCGTGGGGCCGGGCCCGCTACCGGGCCCCACCCTCAAAAGCGGATCCTGGGGGGCGGACGAAGACCAACTGCGCCCCACATGGGCACATGGGGTCGGAGAATCGATCCACGCCGACGGCGCCAGCGGCATCGATGCATCGGCGATGCATCCGCGATGCCGCGCGACCCTCCGACCTCATCTGCAGTATGTTCCGGTCGTGTCGACCGTTGACGACCCCGCCGCCAGTGTTCAGCGTCGAATGCCGCCGGCGACCCAGAATCGGGCGATGTTGAACGACCTAACGTTTCGGACACTGCCATCCGACAAGGTTGCACGATCCCCACACTGTCAGGAACCAACGCCAGGGTCGACTCGACGCGAACCTGCCGTACTTCAGCCACGCGCAGAGGGGTTATGGGGGGACAGGGGTGGGCTCCTTAGAAGCAGCCTCCTGCAAAGAAGCCCTCCCCCTCCCTCCCCCCCCCCCTGCGCGCATCGCCAAGTACTCGGACCGCACTTGGGAGGCTTTTGGAAGACCAGTAGCAGCTTCTGATCGTTCGGGGCATGGCCCGCCGCCCAGTGTCGCCGCGGGCGCGCCGCCTGTGTAGCAGCGGCCGCGGTCGGTTTTGGGCCACGTTTGCGGGTGGGCGATGGCACGGCAGGTCCGCCCGCAACGAACCCCAACGAGGGAGGGGGCTCATGCTGCAGAAGCAAGCCCCCGACCCAGGGCAGCCAGGGATTGTGGCCTGCGACCTTCCCCCTGCACGTCTGGAGGAGGAGGAGGAGGAGGAGGAGGAGGAGGAGGAGGAGGAGGAGGAGGACCCAGCAGCTGCAGGCGAGGAGAATGAGGGAGGATGAGGAGGAGGAGGAGGGATGAGGAGGGGCTGCCCGTTTTGGTCAACATCTGCTGCTGGGTATCGTCCCCATGTTGTCCGCCTCCATTTCGGGCGTGCCAAGGCGACGCCGTGGCTGCCTGCCTGACCGAGGACGACACCACGGTGCTGGCGGGTGAACGAATTGATCGGGAGACGTCATCTGACCGCCTCGCCGATCTTGGCCGGGCCCATCCTGGGCACAGGACGGGCCTGGCCAGGGCCGGTGAGGTGGTCAGTTGACGCTATCCGAGCAGGGAGAGGGGTCCTTTGCAGTCGCCGTTGGGTGGGAGAGTGGTCGCCCTCCTCCACCTTCTCCCACTCCTCCTCCCAAACCCTCCCCTTCCTCCCGTCCCGATCCTCCTCCTCATCCCCTCCCAACCATCATCCCTCCAATCCTCCTCCTCCTCCCCCTCCTGCCCCGCCTCCTCCTCCTCCTCCTCCTCCTCCTCCTCCCCCCCCTCCTCCTCATCCTCCTCCTCCTCCTCCTGCTCCTAATCCTCAACGCTGACGCTGCTGACGGGTCCAGGCCGAAGTCTCGGCGCCATCGCTGCTCTCTTCCTCCTCCATCACTCTTTCTTCCGAACGACTCTTTCCTGTCGCAGCTTCAGACGTGTCCGTGGGCCAGCCGGCAGTTGCTCTTGACTTCCCTGCGTCTCATGTTCCCGCACCTGGAGACCACAGATGGAGGCTTGATGGTTTTCAAGATGTGGCGGTTTTCAAGATGTGGCTATCGACCCAGCGCTGCGCTCATTCGTCTTGGGAAACTCCCCACGGATGCACGGATTGAGGCCGGTACGTTTGTAACATTGTGTGACAGTCAAACGGATGGAGGGCGGTACCTTGCCAACATGGAGTTCTCGTTTGAGATGTTGTCAGTTTTTTATGAACAGAAGTTGCAACAGATAAATGGTTGCAGAGCGGTTCCGTTTCAAAGCGGGGTTGTCGTTGGGACGTCAAAGCCTTGTTCGCCGAATTCATTATAGCCCATTGCTCGAAGGATGAAGGGTGGCTCTCTTCAAACCGAAGCTCCCGCCTGCATTGAGGGCCACGGGGGTGCTCGTCTTTCAAGGGGGCGGCTCCTGGAGTAAGCTAGGATGCTTGTAGGGCAGCGGGAGCACACCGTGTTGATACACCAAAGATGGCCCGAACGTACGCATGGACACAGACACACATGTGTCTGTATTCCTTTAGTTTTAAATCCTGCCTGGAGCAAAAAAGCTGATGACCCACACACACACACACACCATACCTTTTTCGATGGTCGTCCACGGCCCCGGTGCACCTTTCGAACAGACTTCCAAGCTTTCCAAACCAGCCGCCTGCGCGCCGAACGATCGGCTGAAACGCTTTCCGTGGCAGCCCGACGGCCCAAGACGCCCGAGGACGGCTCCCAAACAGCCCCTAACGGGCCCACAAGACTCCAAAGAGCGCCGCGACATGAAAAACCAATGCTTTGCCTGATGTTTGTGACATTTTGACGTCCTCGTCATTCTGGACATCCTGCATCCGACGACGGCCCAAGAGGCTTCCGAGATCCCCCCAAGACGGCCCAAGAGGCTTCCAAGGCGGCCCCGAAACGGCCCAACAGAGCCCCCAGACGCCCAAGTTGGCTCCAAGACGGCGTGCAGCGCGCCCTACACACGCCCAGGGGCGCGCCCAAGATAGCCCCACGGGGCACCCGATGGCCCAAGAGGCCCCCAAGAGAGTCCCAAGTCGGCCCAAGAGGGCTCCGAGACAGCCCAAGAGAGCCCCAAGACGGCCTAGAGGGGCCCCAGAGGGTGCCACAGGGGCCCCAACTCCAAGAGGGCCATGGGAGGCCCACTGGACGGCCGAAGATTGCCCCCAGAGGGCTCCAAGACGGCCCCAGCCCCCCAGGACGGCCCAAGAGGGCCCCAGGACAGCCCAAGAGGGCCCAGAGCTGGCCCAAAAGAGCCCCAAAAAGGACCCCCAAGAAAGCCCAAGAGCCCCCAAAGTTTCCAGAATGCTTCCAAAAGACTCCCAGAAAGCTTCCCTAGGCTGCAAGGGGCCCCCGATTCACGATTCACCTCAGGGCTTCAAGAGGCCCCACAAACAAACGCCGCCAGGCCCGTAGAAGCACTACAACGCCTTGGATTCGCGATCCAGGTTAGGGGTGTGCCAGCATGGGTGAGGCGGCGGGATGCGAACCTTGGCTCTGGGGCCGTCCGTGCAACTCCCTGTGGGGTACGATCCGTGTGAGGAGACAGTCGACATGCGCGGGGGGACTTGACGTTACGCGAATCTGCTGACCATGGCCGCACGTGAAATGCATCCCTCTGGGACACGATCCGTGTGATGGGTGTGCCGAGACGGGCGGAACGACGCCGTGTGAACTTTAACACTGGACCCGCAAGTGGAGCTCCCAGGGGGACGCTATGTGAACCCTGCCTTCCTACGGGGGCCGTAGGATCATCGCTTGCACTTTTTATCAGCCTTCCTACAGCCCACTTCTCCTCCTTCTCCTCCTTCTCCTCCTCCTTCTCCTCCTTCGCCTCCTTCTCCTCCTCCGCCTCCTCCTCCTCCTCCTCCTCCTCCTCCTCCTCTCCCTCCTCCTCCTCCTCCTCCTCCTCCTCCTCCTCCTCCTCCTCCCCCTCCTCCTCCTCCTCCTCCTCCTCCTCCTCCTCCTCCGCCTCCTCCTCTTCCTCCCCCTCCTCCTCCTCCTCCTCCTCCTCCTCCTCCTCCTCCTCATCATCATCATCATCATCGTCCTTCACATCCTCCCCTTCCTTCTCCTCCTCCTCCTCCTACTCCTCCTCCTCCTCCTTCTCCTGCACCTCCTCCTTCGCTTCGCTCGCGCGGGTTGCAATACTTCGGCAATGGTGCTCTCGCCCATCCATGACCGCATCCTGATCCAAGATTGTCGCAGCCACCCCAGCACTGACCACACTTGAGACGAGCGGTACTGTCGCCTCAGAGCCGACCACAGCCTTCATTGCAGATGATGCTGCTGGTCGCGCACAAGCTCCATGCACGCTTCCCACAGCCCTCATGGTAGAATGGTGTTCCGCCCACGCGCCAGCCACATCCATTCCCAAGATTTGTGCTACCGCCCCAGCGCTGGCCGCACCCGTGCGTGAGACTGTAACTCTCGCTTGAGCCTCGGCTACATCCGTCTTTTGCGAGCGCCACCTCCCGCGCGAGACAACTGGCGACCGCAGCTGCCGTCCCTTCGTGCTGGGCGAATGCCGATTCTGTCGTTGGGTTTGGACGGAACGCGTCGGGTCTGTTGCCAATTGGGGCTGCGCCAGGCTAGCCCCCCAACGTCAGGTTCGGGCATGGGTCGTAGCAACATTGCGGCTACATCAATATGCTAGCCGCAGAGTCAATGCAACATGTCGGTGCAAGGATCAAGATTACCCCAGTGCGACCCTACCTAGAAGTTGGAGCCCCTAGAAAAGAAGCATTAGTTGTTATGCCATGCTATGCCATGCTATGCTGCGCTATGATATGCTATGCTATGCTATGATATGATGCGCTATGCTATGCTATGCTATGCTATGCTGTGTTAAGCTATGAGTTGTCATGCTGCGCTGTGCTATGTTACGCTATGAAATGATATGCTATGCTATGCTAAGCTGCGCTATGCTAGGCTATGTTATGCTGTGATATGATATGGTATGATATGGCATGCTGCGTTATGATATGATATGCTATGTTATGATTGGCTATGTTATGATATGAGATGCTATGATATGCTGATACAGCGCTGCGCTATGCTAAGCTAAGCTCAGCTAAGCTAAGCTAAGCTCACCCTCTAGGCATAGCCTGTGCCTTGCCGTTGCTTTGCCGTTGCTTAGCTGCTGTGCTGTGCTGTGCTGCGCTGCGCTGCGCTGCGCTGCGCTATGGTATGCTATGCTATGCTATGATATGCTATGCTGCGCTATGCTATGCTATGCTATGATATGCTGTGCTATGCTATGTTACGCTATGCTATGCTCTGCTGTGCTCTGTTATGCTAAAGCTCAGCGAAGCTAAGATGAAGGAAAGCTAAGCTAAGATAAACCTGAGCTAAGATGAAGATAAGCTAAGCTAAGATGAAATAAGCTAAGCTAAGATGAGATAAGCAACGCTAAGCTAAGGGGACGCAACTGGGGGAACCGCGGGGCGGATCCTGGGGGAACCGCCCGGGGCGCATTACACTGCCCGGCCCCTTTAAGCTAAGAGAGTGAGAACCCTTCTAGGCAGAGCCTATGTAGGGAATTATAAGACGAAGCGCAGCGAGTCTTCAAATCTTGTGTTTGTATAACAAGGGAAGACATACAAAAAACACAACAACCATTGAAATCCTGTGGCGGGAAGCGTCCGGAAGTCTCCAGCAGGTAGTCTGGGGAGAGATGGGAGTAGCACCCAGATCCAATCTGCAGAGGGATGAGAACGACGAGGAGGGAGAGGAGGAGGAGGAGGAGGAGGAGGAGGAGGAGGCGAAGGAGGAGGAGGAGGAGGCCTCCTGGGGGCCCTCCTGGGGGTCTCCTGGGGGGCTCTGAGGGGCCTCTTCGGGGCCTTGCTGGGGCCCCTGGGGCTCGTGGAGGCCTCCTGGGCCGTCCTAGGGCTCCCCTGGCCCGTCGGGCGTCGTCGGAGGCCGTATTGGAGGTCTGTTGGGGCCCCTTTGGTGCTACATTGAGACTGTCTTGGGCGATCGAAGCCCGAGGAGGCGAGAACTCTGTGCTTCGACAGCTTCGCAGCTGAACTGTTGCCAGATGAACCTGATCTCCCACCTCCACCGCACCATGCTGATGGTGAAAATGAAGTTGGAGCGGGAGAGCAGGAAAGCTTATTATCAGAAGATGGCTTCCTGGTCGTAGCAGGCGACGGAGCATGCCCAGGCCAAGCGTCGGACCTTCGCCTCCGACGGTCAGGGTATGCTCTCTACTACGGACACGGTAATGCATGCAATACTGAGGTCGCTCTACGGAGCGTCTCGCAGGGCGCCCAGCACGCCGAGGTGGCAGCATTTCGACATTTTGTGGCATGGGCCTGGTGTCGGCAGGTGTACCTCACCGACTCAGACTATTGTGCTCGACCGGTTATTGCTCTCTTTCGTGCCCAGCAGATACAGCCGAAGCAGCATCGCGAATTATGGACGGCGATTGCAACTGGAGGCGAAGCCAAAGGCAGAGACACGTTCAGAGTGCAGAAGATCAAGGCCCGCAGGAAGCGTGCTGATGCACCCGATACTGATCTACACCTGTGGGAACGCAATCAACAGGCAGATGCAGGTGCAGTTCGTGATGCTCGCCTCCATGCAGTTTCCCAAGCAATACGTCAGCAGCATCTGCAAGATCAGAAGCTTTGCTATACCATCCAGATGGATGCGGTCATGATCCTGGAGCGTAGGGCCCATGCCTTACGTGAGCCTGGCCGTGTCAAGCATGACGAACGTTGTCCCCATGTTCGTGCCTTTCTGGGCGCAGAAGATGAAGGAGAAGTCCATTTTGAGTGTGACGGAGACGATGAATATGATCCTTGGGTACATCTCGGCATGGATGACGGAGATTAACCACCACAAGCAACCACGACATCACAGGGTCCGTGTCTGGACACTACTGGAGTCAGAATGCAAATCCTGGTGTGCCAACAGGGCTACCAGGTTCGGTCGCCACGGGAGGCGTTAGGACGCAAAGTCTTGGTGTGCCAGTGCGGCTACCAGGCTCATCGTCGCCACGCGCGTCCGACGCGGACCCTGCCACAGCACACCCACCATTACCACCTACGACCGTGTTCGATGTAGAGCCAACACGGAGGTATCCCAGCAGGTCAGCACAGCTTCCAAGACGAATACCAGCGACGACGACTTCAAGAGTCAAGACGGCTAGCATGAGTCATACACTAGCAGCATCACCCACATCAGCCCACTCTTCAGGCGCTGCATGTACCAGCGCCGCGAGCAGTTCACACCAGCCCATGGTCTTGAACCCGCTGACAGACAATTTCTTGACCTGGAGTCCGAAGATGGCCTTTTCATGGGTATCAGTGGGACCCAGTTAAATTGAACCCGCCTTCCTGGAAGTACCCGCAGGCTTTTTTTCCTGCAGTGATATGGTACTTCATGCAACTACAATGGGAAGCAGATGGTACACCGACGGCGCCACTCTCAGCCACCTGGGCAGAGCTTGCTATTGACCTCACGGTCATCACGGGGCGTTCTCTAGCCTCCCCTCAGGAGAATGCGGCGGCGGCCACGCTCGAGCACATGGCGATATACCTCTCGACAGCAGCAGCCCGCATGGCTAGTCTACATCGCTGCAGGTTGGCGCCGAGGGATGCTAGACCTTGCATGGGAACAATTACTCCTCTTGGCATACGCCAGGTTCCTGGATTCAAGTGCCGCCCCACATTTGCCCAGCACGAGCACACCATGAGGATTGTATACTATGTTGCGCTTGCCACGACAGACAAAAACGCTGAGATTCGAATTACACCACTGTGGGGGACAATTCCTCCGCCGATATGGGCAGCACCGAAGCTCACCAAGAACATAAGCGAGACACTGCGTGATACGGATCTAGCCACACGTTCTGTACACGCGGCGCGAGAGGCAGGGATCATCAGAAAAACTCAGAAGGCCACCGCTATTGCTACTGCTAGAGCTGCTGTCAAGTGGACAGAACAGGAGCTTGCAGAGTTGACGGGCCTTCGTGACAAGGAACTACTACGTGAGCAAAAGCGCCTTCTCCACAACCGCGAAGCCCGATTTCAAGGTTACCATGAGTTTGGCCACACCCTGGGCCCCCCAAAGAATGGAGAAGTACGGTTCGAATGCACAAACTGTGGTGACAAAAGGAGCGACGTTGGGATGGGGCAGATACTTATGCGGAGTTGAAGTTCGAGTGTTTGGCCCACGGAGACGTCTTGCCGACTGGAACTCCCAAGTTGAATCTCACAATGAACGTACCAAGACGTCAGGGAATCGCTGTCACGTCCCACATCCGTTCCGACCTGGCGATGTTGGCAAAAAGCTTGTGTGTTCGATAGGCAACCAGGCTTCAGTCAAGCGTGCAATCTTGTGGTTTGTTGCAAACATTTGTGCGAAGCGATGCTATGACGAGTAGCATGAGGAGGTTGACTGGCATGGTACATTTATCAAGACGGGGTGATGCCGATCTACACATTATGTTTGTTCACTGCGGCTGTTTGCCAATGTGAAAGATCCCAGTACAGACGCGAGAACGCTATGTTTCAGAAGGAGGTATATGTTGCTGTCTTCTTCCGAGCCTCATGCACACTCTCGTGGACCGCTGCAGGGGCGTCCTGGACGCCGCTTGGGCCCCTTCGGGCCCATCCTGGCAATCTTGGGGGCATCTTGGGATCAGTTGGGAGGCCAGCAGCTGGTCCCCTTGGGAACGTTCGGCGGGTTGGGATTGAGTGTGGTGTGGTTCCTGTGTGTTTTTGTTTTGTTCGGGTGGTGGACGGGCTGGGCCGAGCGCCACAGGGACCCGCTCTGGGAGGCCCGAGTAGGTTTCAGAAGCAAGGTGCGCCAAGCATCTCTGTGGCAAGCCAGGAGGCGGCAGCGGATCGAGCCTTCGTCCCGGCCCACCACCGTCCCCGGGTTGTGCGCGGTTGATGTGTCTTGCGATCTCGCGGGGGGCCTCCTTCACGCCTGTTTGTGGGAGAATGGGGCTCTCGAGGGGTATCTTTGCGGATTTAAGTAAGGTGGGATGGGAGGAGGAGAGCCCGGGAGAGTGAGGCGGCAGGGGGGAGGGTCAACGGAAGGAGCCGAGAACAAAACACGTGTTTTCCCCTCCCTCTTCGTTCGCCCCATCCTGCTCCTTCTTCCCCCATTCAACCTCATGCGTCTCTTCCGGCCCCTTTTTCCTGATGAGTATTCCGTCCCTGTCGCACCCCCAGGCGTGTCGGTAGGACGGGCCAGGTGTTTCGCTGGAGACCTCCCACCACGTATGGTCCTGACGTTTGACGGCTGCGCTCACTTCGAGGGGGGAGGGCGGCCCGTTTTCGAAATGAGGATCTCGCACGCGCGCGGCACACACTCGTCTTATAGGTTTGCAGAAGCTTCAGGGATGGAGGGCGGCTGGTTTTCAAACTTTGGCCCTCGCCCTCGCGCCGCGCACACTCTTCTTGAAAGGTCGCAACGGCGTCACGGATAGAGGGCGGGGCGTTGTCAAGGCGTGGTTCTCGCTTTAGCGCCGTGCTCGGTTGTCTTAAACGTTTGCAGCAGGTTCAACGATGGAAGGTGACTCCGTTTCAACAGAAGGCTCTCGCCTCAACTCCGCGCGCATTCGTTTTCAAAGCTAGCAGTGTCAAGGCTTCGCACGGTTGGAGAATGAGGAATGTTGTTTGGGCACGCTTGAGGAGCGTCAGGGCGCAACAGTCGCGATGATTCGCCGCGTTGTAATCCCAGCAGCTGTGTGTTGGCACGATTGAGGATTCCCAAACGGTGGTCGCCAAACGGGGCATTAACATAAGTGTTTGCAGGGACCTCTGAAGAGGGAACTTGGAGGGAGGATGTACCTGCAACATCGTTGACACGTCTTGGGTTTACATTTGTCCTCCTGATCCTCCTCCTCCTCCTCCTCCTCCTCCTCATCATCATCATCATCATCCCCCTTCGCTCCCATCCTCCGTGGTGGCAAGGGAGTGGCGTCAATGAAAGGAGTGGCACCTGCGAAGGTGCTCGATGACGTCGCAAGCCTGCGGACGCTCCTGGAGTCCATATCTGGAGACATCCAGCAGGAGCGACCCTGAGGGAGGAAGGGGGAGGCGAAAGAAAGAAGGTGGAACACGAAGAGAGGGCAGGGAAGGAGGAAAAGAGCGAGGAGGGAAGGAAGACTAGAGAGGGAGGGGGCAGGGAGGAGGAGCAGCAGGAGGATGAAGCAGAGGGAAGGACGGATGGGATGAGTGAAGGGGAAAGAAGGAGGAGACGAAGGAGGAGGGGGAGGAGGACGACGACGACGACGAGTACGAGGAGGAGGAGGAGGCCCCGGAATGCGAAAGAGGAGGAGCGGGAAGGAGGGTGGAGGAGGAGGGAGGACGAGGCAGAGGAAAAGATGATGATGATGATGATTATGATGTTGATGATGATGACGATGATGATAATGACGGTGATGATGGTGGTGACATGAGGGGGAGGAGGAGGAGGATCGTCAACTTCTCCAGCAGGGCATACATACCGAAGCCAGATGAGCAGACAGAACGCCACCCGATGGACGCCGAAGTGCACGCGATCAAGGCTGCGGTCAAAGCGTCGTCCTTGCAACACCACAACGTTGGCTGCACGATGTCCAAGGCACGGGCGTCGAAGGCCAGAGGGCGCCCGACAAGACCGCAACTTTCGACGTCGCCAACGCGGTGTACTCCCAGCCATACAGTCGGGGTGCCGAAGAAGGAACCCTTCTCGTTGGGGAGGGGCTCCGTGCTCCTTCATTGCTTCACAGTCTGCCTCGTGTGCTCCTTTTTGGTGTTCCATGGGAGATCGAAGTCTAACTTATGGGAAAAAGGGGGCCTCGTTCCTCATTTAGGGTTCCCTAGGTCAACGCCCCGACTGCAGGCCTTCTTCGGCGCCACACACGAGCCCGCCAAGGACATTCTTCCAGCAGTTCCAGTGCCCACGCGGCGAGAGTCGCACGGCACGGGCCGCGACCGCCGTCCGCCCCAGCCTGGCCCACGAGAGCCAACGCTTGGACCGCGGGAGCTCAGTTCTGTCGGGGCCTCCCGCCCACATTCGCCGCTCCAGGGCGGGTCGCGCTGCTCGTGGCGAGGTTGCGGGGCGCCTTTGTTTGCGGCGTCCCCGCCCCGCCACCTCCGCCCAGGGATAGAATACTCGCAGGTGCCTTGGAGAAGCCCTCCCCTGGGGGGGGCCTTCGTGGGGCTGGGGGCCTTCGTGGGGCTCCGAAGCCCGAGGCCTCGCTCAGCAAGTCTGGCTTCAGAGTCTCCTCCTGGTTTTCCGGGAAGTCCGTTTGTTTCCTCCGCTCCTTCGAAGCCGCCGCCCAGTGTTCTGGGATGTCCATCTGTCTCCTCTGCCCCGTCGGTTTCGCGTGTAGTGCTCAGGCAAATCCGTATGTCTCCCCTGCTCCATCAGCCTCGCCTTCTGGCATTGCTGAAGGTGCTGATGGCGTTCCTGCTCCTTCGGCGTCGTGCCACAGTGCCCTGCGCAGTGCATCATCCCGCTGGCCGCCTGGTAGGAGTATGGCTTCCCGATCGCCTGATCCCTCGTAAGCAGCCCGAGTTGAGTTACGTACTACACCGAGGTCGCTACCACTCAACCTATTGAATTTGTTGTCGCACCTCTAGAGGTTGTCGTCGCCCATAGACACCGCGGCTTTAGCGATACCAAGCATGTTCTCACCAGCCACTCAATGCTAGTGCCGCCATCGTCGCCGCTAGGCTACCGATATGGTGTGTGGAGCAGCCCACATGCCTGCCTCCAAGTCGCCCGCATGGAGGGCCTCTGTGGGCGGGGTCGAGCTGGGCCCATCCTCTGTCCCCATCCTATCCTCCGTTGCAGGTGCAGCTCCAGAGCATCAGCCAGGCAAGTCGGGTTTGCACCCTCATGCCTCTGGACTCTGGGCGCGTTTCGGCACTGCCACTGCCGCCGCCACCCCCTTGCCAGGGCCACCGATTCGGGTTACGGCGACAGCGACAGTGGCGGTGGCCGACGCGTCCCAGAGCTAAGAAGCTCTAAGCTCTAAGCACCGCGGCTCAGAGAGCCGTGACGACGGACAGACGGACAGACGGACGGACAGCCAGGCGGCGTGCAATGCTTGGCACGTCAAGTGAGCAGTCATTGCATAAGGGATGCAAGTCCCGAGCAGAGCAACACGTTCCACGACCACGACGACGCCGACAAAAACAACGAAGAAGACGAGGCTCGCAGACGATCCGCACCGAAGCACGAATCAGGGAAAGGGCCCACCCTGCAGGTTTGGCTAAGCAGCACATTCTTGAGCGGTGCTGCAGCCTCCACTGAGCACAGGCCTGGGCCGCGGATTCTTCGGGAGGGGTAGGGGAGGAGAAGGAGGAGGAGGAGGAGGAGGAGGAGGTGGAGGAGAAGAAGAAGAAGAAGGAGGAGGAGGAGGAGGAGGAGGAGGAGGGGGGCAGGAAAAGGAAGGAGGAATGGAGCAAGACAGGGAGGGAGGAGGCAGAAGGAGGCGGGGGGGGGAGGGGAGTGGCAGGCCACCCCAGCCGGCACTCCCATGGACACGCCGCTGAGCGAGGGCGCGCGCCTGGAGAACGAGCGCAGGCAGGTGCCGTGCTGGCTGAGGCACCGGGCTGCCCTCGCACCTCCTCCTCCGCCCTGGGTGCATATGACCTGGCGAGCCCCGGAGAGAGCTGGAACGACATGTGGCCACACGTTTTTGTCCAGTGCTCGTCCCTCCTATGGCCAGGCACGGTGATCGCCAGCACCTGTGAGTGGCAAGTGGCCTCCGCATGCTCCGCATGTGCCTCCCGGCAGGCTGAACTGGCACTCGGGCGGCATGCCGATGGACTTCTGGCTCAACCCCGACAACCCCTCAGACGAGCCCCCGGCTTAGCTTGCTTGTCCTGGCTCGCCCATCTTGAAGCGCAGCGCGTACCGTTGATCAACACGTCCGGGCCGAAAGCGCAGCGTGCTGGTTCAGTTCGTGCTCGCCTGAGTGTTGGCGACTGCATCGCGCCCGATCTCCGTTTTCAATTTGCGCGCTGAGCTCCGTGTCAACACGCTCTGGGCTGCGTGCTGCGGATGAGGCGAAGAAGACAAGACAGCATATAATCATGTATTAGCGGAGGTCCGCGCGGATCTCTTGGGGGTCCATCGCCAACCCAGGAAACCCGTGCGGACCTCCGAAAAGTTATGTGAATACCGTTGTTTCCTGAACAGCTTGCCTGTAGTGGTTTTATATCAAGTGTATGAGGAAGTAGTGGATGCGTTGCCGGATCCAGATTTGGTCGGGGAACGTTATCTCCCGTTGTCGCCCGCTTTCTCCTTGTCCCTGCCCTATATATATCTATATATATATATATCCCTATGCCCATCCCGATCCATGTCCCCGCATCCCTGTCGCGGACACCCGAGCCCTATATCCCCATCCTATCCCGATCCCCCCATCGTGGCTCCCATGGTATCCGGTGACATCTGCCCAGGGCTCAGCAGGGGCGGCCTAACCGACCCCTGGTAAGCCATCCCCTTCCGTGACGTGCCCTTCGCCTCGCCCCATGGCGTGCGTGTGCGGACGGAAGGGAGCTTGAGAGGCGAGGGTGACGTCACGGAAGGGGATTGATTGATGGGCTTGTTTTCCACCACCACCACCATAAGATGGAGGGGGAGTGGGTCCTCCTCCTCCTCCTCCTCCTCCTCCTCATCCTCCTCTTCGTCCTCCTCCTCCTCCTCCTCGTCATCCACCTCCTTCCCCCCTCCAACATCTGGTGGTGGTGGTGGTGGAAAACAGGCCCATCAGGGATGCTTGGCCAGGGGTCGGTTAGGCCGCTCCCGAGGGGTCTTCGCCGCAGCGGTGCCGCGCGTGCTCTCCGGGTTCCGGGGGCCGCGTGCCGCCTCGTGGGGAGAGCCGAGGCCCCCGGAGATCCTGTGGGAGCCGCCCCCGGAGCCGTGCCGAGTGCTCGAGCTCGAGGGCGCGCGGGTGCAACGATAGGGTTAGGTCGGGCCTGTCCCTCCACAGGGGGAATATTCAAAAATAGTCAGAAGATAGTCAGGGGACGATTTTTTAGTATGTTTGAATATTTCTTGAACTTTTTTTGAATATGTTAAATTGTTCCTCCAGATTTCGCCTGTAGAGGGACATGCCCGACCTAACGGTAGGGGGGGGTGGACACAGGGGGGGATGCATCGACCCCCAATCGCCCGTTGATCCCCGATAGGGGGTCTGATGGCTCCATCCGGCCCAGGAAGGCGCGGATCCGCTGTCGGAGGCCTACCGCCGATTGATCGGCGATGTATCGCCGAGTCCAGGTCGATGCTCCCCCCCCACTGCCAGGCTCCCCTCTATGTGTGCCTCTCAGGCGCGCGGGTGCACGTGGCCGAGCTGCAGGGCCAAGTGCAGGAGCCCGCCCGGGGGGCCGGGGGGTGAGAGGAGGAAAGGGCACCCATGATCGCTGCCTTTCCCTCGCCTTCCCCTTCTTGGGCCTCCTGGGAGGCCCTCGTCGCCAACGCTGGATTCGCCGCGAGGTCCTGGTCGGAACGCGCCCCAGGAGAGGTCGGGGGAGTGGCGCTGTCGGTACCTCTTGGTCTCCCCAGCCTGGGGGGCGGGGGCGGCACGGAACTACGTGCGAGGCTGCTCGGCCTGGCGGTGGGGAGAAGGGGGGTTCTATGCGCCAGGGAGCCCCTCCTCCTCCTCCTCCTCCTCCTCCTTCTCCTCATCCTCCTCCTCCTCCTCCTCCTCGGCGGCAGGAATGGAAAGGAGTCCCGAGAGAAAGGCGTCTTGGACCCCCAGGCCCTTCCCTAGGACTCCTGGACCAGCTTTTCATTCGGAGGCGTCCAGAGGGTGGAGGAGGAGGAGGAGGAGGAGGAGGTGGAGGAGGAGGAGGAGGAGGAGGTGCAGGGGGGGGATCTCATGGCCAGGGCCGTGACATGGCCCTCCTCTTCTCAGCTCAGTGCGTCCCGTGCCCCCCCCCCCCCTGAGCCGCGCACGTGCCTCGGGCCGTGACCTGCGAGCCCCCTTCGCTGGCGGCCCACGATTCGTTCCGAGCCTTTCCGTCACAGTCCTGGGGCCCGTGGACGGCCCCAAGGGCCCCGAGAACAGCGGAACAGCCCTCCTGAGAGCCGCCTCCCTCCGGGCTTTGCCTGCCGTTGCAGCGTGGATTGCCGCCGAGCACCGCTGCAGCTGCAGCGCGTGATTGCACATGCCTTGCACGAGCAGCAGGCGTGCACGTATGCATGCATCGTCTGCGTGCGCTTGTGGAGCGCACCGTAGCCATCGAGGCTCGAGCCTCCTAGACGTCATGTTAGACGAGATGTTAGACGAGTCCCAGAGCCGGGCGGCTGCGCAGTCACAGCTAGAGAGCTCTTTGGGTGTGATCCTCCAGGCTCCGCCTCATTCGTGCTGAGCTCCCCCGCCCATCCCGCGCGAGCATCTCCCGCGGGCCCCCCCAGGAGCTGCAGGAGCTGGCGGCGCAGCACGCCCAGGCGACGGCGGTGCGAGTTCTCTCCCGGAGGCGTTGGGTTCGTGCAGGTTCGGGAACCTCGAGACGGGGGTCAATGCAAACGGGGTCAGCCAAGGCGCCGGATCCTGCAGGATTCTGCGAAGACCCCCTCTGGCTGACCCGGGTTAGCGAGCCGCTCGTGGCCGCGAGGCGGCCGCGCATATTGGCTGACCCGGGTTTGCGAAGACCTGCGTTGCAGTTGTTTTGTCCTGCATTGCAGTTTTTGGTTTGCTGCTGACCCGGGTCTGGATTGACCCGGGTCAGAAGATCCCCGACAGGTGCGCTGCGCCGGGGCTCATGAAGGACAATAGATAAGCAACAAACAAAGTACCGATAGTGATCGTTTTTTATTCATTGTTTTGCCGATCGGTGCGGGCCCTCGCACCCCCCCCTCCCCCCCCCCATGGAGTAGATATTGGCTGTTTTTGGTGCCTGTTTCGAGAAGCAGGTGGAGTCTCTCCTCTTAGGACGCACCGTCGCAAACAGTCGCACTAAGCAGAGGTCCGGAGCCAGACCCCCCCATCCCCCCCTTCCGCCCATTCTGCCGAAACGCCGAATTCGAAAACGTTCACAAGCCGCTACGTCGAATCACCGCCGCCCCCTGTCTTTCAGGGTACGCCTGCGTGGCCAAACGTGTGGGCAAAGTTTGGCCACGCTTGTGGACCATACGTTCCCCCTGCCGTTGTGGAAGCCGTTCGGGGAACACGTGGGGGAGGAACACGAGGATGAGAGGGAAGAAACAAGAGGATGAGGAGAAGGATGAGGCGACCTCTTGGGAGCTTCTTGGGTCATTCTCAGGGCCTCCTGGGAGCGTCCTGGGGGCTTCTCGGAGGCCTCTTGGGGGCTTTGGGGATCTTCTTGGGAGCCTCTTTGGCAGTCTTACGGCGTTCCTGGCCCGTGTGACGCCGTCGGAAGCCGTCTTGGGAGCCTCTTCGGGCCGTCTTGGAGCCTTCTTGGGGCGCTTCAGGGCCGTCTTGAAGGCCATCTTGGGCGTCTCGGAGGCCTCTTGGGCCGTCTTGGGAGCCTCTTGGGCCGTCCTGGGGCCATCTTGGAGGCCTCTTGGGCGATATTGGGAGCCTCTTGGGCCGTCTTGGGCCATCGGGAGGCCGTGTTGAAGCAAATGCCAAGATACTTCAAAACCAATGGAAAATCCTCGATGTTGGCACCATCGGGCCTCCCTGGAGGACCTCTTTGAGGCTTTTTTGGGCCGTCTGAGGGGCGTCTTTGGTGCCTCCTGGGCCGTCTCGGGCCGTCTTGAGGCCATCTTAGGCCGTCTGAGGTGCATCTTGGACATTCTCGGAGACATCTTGCGGCCACCTTGGCCGTCTTGGAGGCTATGTTGGAAGCTATCTTGGGCCATATTGGCCGTTTTGGAGGCCATCTTGTGCCGTCTTAAGAGGACTCTGTGTGCAAGCTGAGGTGCCTCTGCGGCGTTCGGGGTGGCTGACGCGCTGGGCCGAAGCCCCGAGGGGAGACTTTACAAGAACCCAAAACAACAAAACATTCAGCACGCCAGGCACCCTTGCTGTATTAAATCAACAGGGGGCGGCGGATCGAAGACGCCTACGGCGAATCACCGCCGCCCCCTGCTTCTTGGCATTGCCCATGTGGCCGAGCACTGTGGCAAGAGCTCTGCCACGCTCTCGGACCATGTGCTCCCCCAGCCGTCTTGGAAGCCCTTCGGGAAACACTTCGGGGGAGGATGGCGGGGAAGATCGGGCGGCCCTACGACGGTTGCACGACGGCGGTTGCACGACGGGGGCCCCGAGGCGCTCTCCGGGCCGCCCTCCGACGCTCCGAGGCGGCTCCAGGTCGCCCCCAAAGCGTCTAGGATAGCCTCGGGGCACCTCGGGGATCTCCCAGGACGCTCCCAGCCTGCCTCGTGCGGCCGTGACTGGCATCTCGACAGCCCACGAGACGCCCCAAGAACCCCAGGAAGCTCCTCAAGACGACCTCTCGAGGCCCAAATCGTCCAATCCACTGGGGGAAACATACATTTTAACCATATTCACTTCTTCCATCTTCACAGCGTCGAAGACAGCCCAAGCGATCCCCAACGTCGCCCTGGGACGGCCCAAGGCGGCCCCAAGGAGGTCCAAAGACGACCGAAGACGGCCCAAGATGGCCCCTGAGACGGCCCCTAAGAGGCCCCCAAGACAGCCCAGGGGGGCCCCAGGAGAGCCCTAAGAAAGGCCCACGACGGGGAACCCGAGCTGAGACTTCGAACCCTCCGCCTCAGGATGACCGCCGAAGCCGCCGAGAGGCCCAAAGGAGGCCCGGGCCCGGGGCCAGGGGCCCGCCCCCCCTCGGATTTCGGTGCCCCTTCTCCCCAGGGGCCCTCCCCGGGCGACGCCCCGAGGTCCCAGAAAGTTTGAGAATCTTCGAGGGCCACCCCAAGTTAGCCTGCGACTGGCCCTCAAGGCTCCCAAAAGCGCCCCACGAGAGCTCCAAGACGGCCCCAGATGACACCGCGACAGCCCCAAGGCGCCCCAAGACGTCCAGAGAGGCCCTCAAGAGGCTCCCCAAGAGGGTCCCAAGAAGCAAAGACCGTCCCATTCCCTGAGGAGAACGAATATGTTTAGCAGATTCGCTTCTTGGGCGTTCACAGCATAGCGTCCACGACGGCCCAAGAGGCCCCCAAGACGGCCCATGAGGTCCCCAAGAGAGCTTCAGGACGGCCCAGGCAGAGCTCAAGACGGTCCAGGAGGCCCCCCAAGATGGCCCAAGAGAGCCCCAGGACAGGCCCAAGAGCAATCTCAGAGGGGGAAAATCACGTTCAAAGTTCGAGCCTTAGCCCCAGCCAGAGGCCCCCAGGAGGTCCCAAGAGGCTCCCAAGAGGCCCCAAGAGGCCCGAAAAGGCCCCAAGAGGCTTCGAAAAACAACCCAAGAGGTCCCGGGGAACCCCCCAGGAGTTCAAACATTGTCTCCAATATGCCCGCGAAAGGCCTCCAAGATGCCTCCAAGACGCCCCCCAAGAAGCCCCAACAGCTGCCTTCAAGATAATTTCGAAACGCTTACGTTTAAGCATAAGTTTTGCAAAACACATTGTTGATTCGATGCTGTCATTGTCCTGGGGGAGATCTCCGCATTTTCGAACAGGACTCCATCGAGCTGACCCCTTTGTGCGTGTCCGGGCTCCCCGCCTTGGGAGCCTCCGAAATATCCCAGAGAGGTCTCAAGACGGGCACGGGAGGCCCAAGAGGCCCTCAAGACGAGCCAAGAGGGGGGCCCAGAGACGGTACAAGAACGCTCGAAGAAGCCCAAGATAGTTTCAAGTAGGCCCAAGCGGGCCCTTAAACGCTTTCAAGGGGCAACAAAAGGGACCCCGAAGAGGGCCTCAGGATGCCCAAATCATCTAGTGCTTATTGGCTTTGAAAGATTAGCGTTATCGTTGTTCCGATGTTTTATGCACCTGGACAGCCCACGAGGCCCCCGTCACGCCAGACTGCGACCCAAGAGAGCGCCAAGACGGCCCAAGAGGCCACCAAGTCGGCCCAAGAAGCCTTCAAGATGGCCCCAAGACATGGGCACTAGCGGGGATCCAAGCGGACATATCGAAACCAGTCGCCAAGAGCCCCAGGGAGGCCCCCGAGACGCCTCCAAGAAGACCCAAGAGGCCACCAGGAGACCCCAAGAAGCCCCAAGAGGCCACCCCCCCAGAAGCCCCCAAGAGCCCTCGAAGAGAGTCCCCCCACAGGCGTCCAATTAGACTCCCAGCATGTTTGTGGCAGGCTCCTAGGAGCTTTCGGGCATCCCCCTCTAGGCTGCTATGGGTTCTCATCGTGGCTGCCTTTCGCGCCTTCCTGGAGCCCGCATGGGCGCTCGCAAAAGAACAGCTCGGGGATTCGCCCTGCACGCGTGCCTATGGCGCGAAATTGTGCTGGACGTCGCCTCCATGAGCAGAGTGAGCCGCGCCATCTGTCTTGTCTTGCACCGTGTGTCGTGCAACATTTTAACGCTTGCCAGCAATTCACAATACGGCCTACGGGATCCCCAAGGCCGCGCCCAAGACGGCTTTCATTGACCCCGGCAGCCCTTCTATATGGTTAACATTCCCCATATCATTGACCCCCAGGGTTGCCAAGGGACCTCCGAAGGCACCTCCGAGATATTTCGAGGGGCTCTCGAGACGGTCATGAGATCTTCAAGTCTGCTGAAGACGGTCCACAGGCCACGAGCCCCCCGGAGCCTCCCAAAAGTTACCTTCGGGCAGCTGCTCGGTGTATCTGCTCAGGGCAGCAGGATATTCTTGGGGCTGTTGTTTCCAGCAACTCCTGAAGTGTCCAGGAAGTACGCTCGCACATGATGGTCCTCGCGGGATGGTCTCCATCCTCATCCGATCCTGTGACGTTGGCTTCGGCTGCAATAGATCCTAGGCGCGCGCGCGCGAAGCGCGCGTGGTTCTAGCAGATGTATGTATATATATATATATTATATATATATATATATATATATATATATATATATATATATATATATATGTACACCTCTTCCTATGTTTTGATAAGCCCGGGCGGGGGAAAACCCGTCACCCCCCTCCCCCCCAAAACCGGACTCCCGGGATCTGGGGCTTTGGGACCCTTCGGACGGGCCTCGAAGCGGCCACCGGGCCTCGCAGGGCGCTTTGCCAAGCCTTCCCAGCACACCTAGGGCGATCAGGGGGGTCATCGGAGACGTCCCAGAGACCCCCAAGACAGCACAAGAGCGCTTCAAGAGTGACCGACGTGACCTCAAGATGGCCCAAGAGGCCTCCAGGACGGCCCCAAAGAGGCCTCCAAGAGCACTCCCAAGAAGGCCCCCCGAGGCAAGAATCATTGTTTTCTGTAGGTTTTTGGTAAATTTGGATGTTCTCCTCTTTTCGGCTTCCCGACGCTCCAAGACTGCGGTCTTCTGGGCGTCCGAAGCCGCCTGGGAGGCTCCAAAATCGCCCCACAACCATCCGACAGGGCTTCCAGGCAGTCCAAGAGAGCCCCAAAACGGCACAACACGGGTCCAAGATGGCCCTCAGAGAGCCCCATGCCGGCCCAAGATGGCCCAAAGACACCCTCCGAAGAATTCCAAATCGTGGTTCGGTCGTTCAGGGAGACTGCGGTTGGAGGCAGGGTGGCCCGAGGAAGCCCCCGGATGCCCCCAGAATGCGCCCAAGAGGCCTCCAGAAGGCCTTAAGAAAGCCTCAAACAATTTTTGTGAGGCCCCTAGAGGCTCTCCAAGGAGGAGTCTCCGCAAAAAAGAGCTGAGCAGGATGGGGAGAATGCGCAGGGTATGGCGAAAATAAGTAAGAAGAGGCATGGAGGAAGGATAACGAATAACATGATTATAGCGGCGATGCCGGAAAAGGCAACCAGGAGTTATCGCTAAATTGTCGGTTTGATGTTCCTGCTATTCCGCCTGCACACCAAACTTGAAGGACCAAGGTGCATGGCGCGAAGCGCCACTGCAGCCTTGTGTATATATATATACCAAACAGGTTTAATGACCCGCAGTGCGCATGAGCCCCCAGAAGTACGCAAGAAAGCGCACAGGAAGAAGCAAGATAGAGACAGATACGGAAGCATACCGAGGATGTGGAGGAGGGACACACAGGTTCAATAACAACAACAGCGCCGAGCGCTACATATGCCGGAAAGAAAAGTGCTACGCGCTCGCTCTATAGCAGAACAGCGCGTCACGCTGAGCGAGGCAAGTTCGCGGGGTGGCATTGCGGGCCAGAGGCATCTGAGGATGGGATGCCACGCGGACAAAAACAAAAAACGCTATGAGCTGCGTGGCGCAGCGGCTCCCTGCGAGCTGCGATGCGACAGCGCCGAGCGCTGCGTGACAGGACAGCGCCGCGAGGTCCCAATTGGATCCCCGTGCAACTCCACTCCGCGGGACCCCCCAGGAACCCACGAACGTGGCATTTCGCGGCCCCTTCCCCCCCAGGGAGCCACGAGGTCCAAACTCGGTCCGCGTCCCACTCCGCGTCACCGGAGCCCACGAAAATGGCGACAATTGCACCTTTCGCAGCCCCCAAGGGAGCAGCGAGGTTCCAACTGGGCCTGCGTACCACTCCACTCCGTTGGATCTCCCAGGAGCCCACGGAAGTGGCGACACTTGCGCAGTTCGCAGCCCCCCCCCCAGGGAGCCGTGGGGTCCCAATTCTGGTTGCACACCATTCCACCACCCGCGACCTCCGAGGAGCACACGAAAGTGGCGACTGTTGCGCACTCCGCAGCCCCCACAGGGAGCCGCGAGGTCCCAACTGGGCCTGCGTACCACTCCACAGCCCACGAACGTGGCGACTGTTGCGCAATTCGCAGGCACGCAGGGAGCCGCGAGGTCCTAACTTGGCCCGCGTACCACTCCTCTCCGCTGGACGCCCCAAAGACCCACGAAAGTAGTCGCGAAAGTTGCACACTTCGCAGCCTCTCAGGGTGCAACGAGGTTCCAACTGGGGCTGCGCACCACTCCACTCCATTGGACCTCCCAGGAGCCAAGGAAAGTGGCGACAGTTGCGCCATTCGCAGCCACGCACAGGGCCGCGGGGTCCCAACTAGGCCTGCGTACCACTCCACCCCGAGCGGCTTCCCAGGAGCCCGAATTTCGCCTCCGTACCACTCCAGTCCGCGCGGCCTCCCAGGAGCCAACGAAAGTGGCGACAGATGCTCCGTTCGCAATCACGCAGGGGGCAGCGAGGTCCCAACTGGGTCCGCGTACCACTACACTCCGCTGGGCCTCCCAGGAGCCCACGAAAGTGGCGACTGTTGCGCCATTCGCAGCCAGGCAGGGAGCAGCGAGGTCCCAACTGGGCATGCGTGCCACTTCACTCCGCTGGGCGTCCCAGGATCCCACGAAAGGGGCGACAGCTGGGCGATTCGCAGCCATGCAGGGAGCCGCGAGGTCTCGACCTGGTCTGTGTACAACTCCACCCCGCTGGGCCCCCCAGGAGCCCACGAACGTGGCGACATTTGTGCAATCCGCAACCACGCAGGGAGCCGCGGTGCCCAAACCTGGCATACGCGTCCTTTTCGTCGGGTTCCCTACCATCCTTCCTCGTTGTCGTCGTCGTCGTCGTTATTTTTCTTCTTCCCCTCCTCCTCATCCGCTGCGTTCCTCCCCGTACTCGTTCTCCTCCATCTTGTCCTCCTCGTCCTCGCGCTTGTCTTCCTACTCGTTGTCCTTATGTTCCCCTCGCTGCCTCCACGTCGTCCACGCTGTCATCCTCGACATCCGCCGCCTTGTCGTCGCCATCATCCTTGCTTCCTTTTCCCATACGAGCCTAGTGGACAAAATCGGCGCTTCCCGTTTTTGCCCGATCAGACTCACGTGTAGCTTAAAAAGTTGATTCTCTGTAGATGACGTAGGATGAGCATCGGCAGATGCACATTTGCATATATAGATGTACCTATGTGTGTATATATATATATGTATATATATGTATATATATACACATATATATATATACATACATCTATATATAAATATATGTGTACGTATGTATACCTGTATACACAAATACGCTGCCAGGCGACAGCCAGCGCTGGCGGCGGCCCCAGCGCCGTCGCGGCGCCCGCCGCCGCGGAGCCGGGGGGCGCCGCGCTTGGCGCGAGCTTCTACCCGCAGGCCGTCGGCGGCAGCGCGCCGCGCCGCCGCAAGCCGCCGGGGCAGATGCCGTGGAGGACCGAAACGCCATGGATCGACCGGGTCCTAACCCGGATCTCCGACGGTGTGATTTGTTCAGCCAGCGTCCGTTCTCCGACTTCCGCCTTCGGGGGCTGTTTTCGGGCCCAGGGGCAGCGGATGATGGCCAGCGTCTTCGAGGAACGCACACCAGCACGGCACACCAGTACGGCATGCAGTTCGGCAGACTAGCACGGCAGACCAGCCGTCTTTTTCAGAGTTCTCGGCGAGACGTTCCATCTGGCTTCGTAGACACAACGACACAACGACGCTTTCCGTTCTTGCCTGGTCAGGTTCAGAAAATGAGCGTTTGGCTTGAGACGTCCTCACAAGAATGAGCTACAACATCGTCTATTACAAAAACCAGCATTTCGCTCGGGACGTCCTCCAAAAAATAGAGTCGCGAATTTCACATATGTTCGAAAGTGAGCGTTTCGCTGGAGACATCCTCGAACAAAGCAAGATGTCGACAGAGGTGTTGTATTACCTATTATGTTGAAACGATGCTCTCGCTCGAGACATTTTCAGAACATTGGGAAGAGCATGGCAGACCAACATAGTTGTATCTTCGACATCGTTTCTAAAAGTGTCGATTTAGCGAGGGATAGCATCACAACATTGGAATGTCCCCAACATTGTTTTTACATTGTTACCGAAATGTTTCACGACGAAGAATGAGGAGCCCAACAAGGACCCAGAAATGGCTCCGATAGCGCCCTCAAGACTGCCGAACATGACGACTTCGCTAGAGACATCCTCAATCAACGATAGGTATGATATCATCGTTTTGAAACATACGGTTCTGACAACGCATTGGCATCGTTATCGCAAGGGCGTCAAGGCGGCCCACGCCGGCCTTCAAACCATTGCAGGCTCGTGAGGGACTTATTCAAAAAAAACATGTGCATGTGTCGAACATCGCAGTGTGATAATTTTAAGGGCGTCAAGACGGCCCCAGAGAGCCCAAAATGAACTCCAATAGCTATGACCCCAAGAGCGCCCTCAAGACGACCGAAAAGGACGATTGCGCTAGGGACACTCACCAAGCTAAGAATGTACCAGCATCGACGTTCGCAAGAACAAGCGTTTCGCCTAAGACAGCCTTTGAACATTGAAAGTCGCGAATTAAACGAACCTTCGAATCCAAAATGCGTGTTTCTACTGAGACATCCTCACAACAATGATGTGTTGAGAAAGCTGCTGCGCTATCTCTCATGATCAAAACGACACTCTCGCTGCAGACATCCGCAGAAACATGGGAGGAGCACGGCAGACCAACATAGTTGCATGTGTCGACGTCCTTGTTGACATTGGCATGTTCTCGAGGGACATCTTCAAACATCTGAGATATTCTTGACATCCTCTTGGTATCATTTTCGGAGATCATCACGGCAGACCAGTGCGGCAGACCAGCACGGCAGACCAGCACGGCAGACCAGCACGACAGACCAGTGTGGCAGACCAGCACGGGAGACCAGACCAGCGAAGACAAGCACGGCAGACCAGCACGGCTGACCAGCACGACAGACCAGCACGGCAAACCAGCACGGCAGACCAGCACGGTTGAGACCAGCACGGCACACCGGCACGGCAGACCAGCACTGCAGACCAGCACGGCAAACCAACACGGCAGCAGACCAGCCCGACTGACCAGCACGGCAGACAAGCACGCCAGGCCAGCACGCCAGGCCAGCGTGGCAGACCAGCACGGCAAATGAGCGCGGCAGCCCAGCACGGCAGTTGAGCACGGAAGACCAGCACGGCAGATTATTAGCACGTCAGACCAGCACGACTGTCCAGCACGGCAGACGTCTTCGGCAGACCAACACGGCAGACCAGCACGGCAGATTATTGCGGCGGACCAGCTCGTTAGACCAGCAAACGGCACACCGGCACGGCATACCAGCACGGCAGACCAGCACAGCAAACCAGCAAGGCACACCAACACGGCACACCAGCATTGCAGACCAGCACGGCAGACCAGCACGGCAGACCAGCACGGCAGACCGGCACGGCAGACCAGCACGGCAGATCAGAAGACCAGGAGACCAGCGCGGCAGAACAACTTATCCGGCAGACCAGCACGGCAGACCAGCACGACAGACTAGCACGGCAGACCAGGATGGCAGACCAGCACGGCACAGACAAGCGTGGCAGTTTAGCGTGGCAGAACAGCACGGCAGTTGAGCACGGAAGTCCAGCATGGCAGACCAATGCGGCAGACCGGCACGGCACACAAGCACGGCAGGCAAGCACGACCGACTTGCTCGGCAGACTAGCACGGCAGACTAACACGGCAGACCGGCACGGATACGGGCATGGTGCAGACCAGCACGGCAAGTCAGCACGGCAGACCAGCATGGTTGACCAGCCCCGCAGGCCAGCACGGCAAACCAGCACGGCAGACCAGCACGGCAGATCAGCTGACCAGCGTGGCAGACCAGCATGGTTCAGACCAGCACGGTGGATTAGCGTGCTTGACCAGCGCGGCAGACCAGCACGGCATAGACCAGCGCGGCAGACCAGCATGGCAGACCAACACGGCAGACCAGCACGGCAGACCAGCGTGGCAGACCAGCGTGGCAGACCAACACGGCAGACCAACACGGCAGACCAGAACACCGTGTAGCCATTTTGGCTCAAGGCCATGGAGCACCCGACGACCGCGAGTCGTCCGCGGCGTTCCGAGCTCGAAGGTCTCCGCGCTTTGGGCCAAGTGACGCATCTGGCTCGCTCTCGTTTCCAGAAGGGTTTCGGCGCGCATCGCGCCGAGCGGCAGGTGCCACGCCGCGCTCAGCCCCCGGTGGCGGAGGCGGCGGCAGCAGGCACTGGATGTGCAGCGAGTGCCGCGACTGGAAGTGGGATTGGCGCAGCAGGTGCCTCGGCTGCGGGACGGGCGCGCCGCCGCGGGCTAGAGGCGCCGAGCGGGGCCAGCGGGCCGCGCCGCCCCCTGAGCCCAAGTCCGACAGTGAAGGCTGGGTGGAGCAGCCGCGGGGACGGCGCGCCCGCCGCCAGGCGAAGGGGGCAGCCAGAGCGGCGCCCCAAGCCGCCTCAGGGACTAGCAGCCGCAGCAAGGCCAGCGCAGGGGCAAGCACGCGACAGGGCACCCCTGTCGCCGCCGTCCGGTTCAGGGCCCACGGAGGCTGAGCGGCGCCATACGGCAGTCGAGCATTTGGAGGCGTTCATGTCCGCGCCGCCCGAGGGCGTCGACAGCTGCTTCACGGACACGGTGGCCAACCACCTGAAGGCCAAGCGCGGCGACCTGGACAAGGCCCGCCGAGCCGCAGCTGAGGCCAGGTCGGCGGCAGTGCCCAGGGCGGCGCGCATGCACAAGGAGGTTTGGGCAACAGGACGGACCGAGAGGAGGCTCAACGCCGCCCGCAAGGGCCTGGAAGAGAAGCGCGCGGCTCGCGACGCAGCCGAGGCGCGCCTCCAGCTGGCGCAACAGGAGCCCGCGACCCTCGACGGCAAGTTGGAGGCGGCCCTCCGTGACTTCAGGGCCCTCGAGGATGAGACACGCGACGCAGAGGAGGCAGAGGGGTGCCGCCGCGTCTCAGCGTGGGCTGGGACCACCCAGATGCCTGTGCTGCGCGCGGCCCGGCAGAACAGCAACTTCGAGACTACACGGGCAGCGGCCGATTCCAGGTCGATGTGCCCCCCCTCCGCCAGTTCCCCCGATCGTTGCCCCTCACAGGTCTCCGACGAGACGATGTGTTCAGCCCGGGCGCTTCTCCTCGATTTCGGCCTCTGGGGGCCGTTGCGCTTCGCGTTTGTCTTCCGCCTCCTCCTCATCATCATCATTATCCTCCTCCTCTTCCTCTTCCTCCTCCTCCTCCTCCTCCTCCTCCTCCTCCTCCTCCTCTCCTCCTCTCCTCCTTTCCTCCTCTTCTTCCCCATCCTCCTCCTTATCCTCCACTGCCCTCGTATCTTGGGCACGTTATCTTATGTTCCGCCTGACGGCCAGCAGTCACGCTAGTGGACCATCCAGCTTCAGGTTCGTGACGTAGTTCGGGGCCAGATGATTAATTCACCTTGCTTGGGTGCGTGGATGAAAAAATGTATGTGACCCTGGGCAATCGAAAATGGGCCCGAGGCGAAAAACGTCATCAAGGGGAAGGGGACAGGACCTCTTCGGAGCCGCGCGTAGGTCAAAACACGCATCGTCGGAGGCCTGGCGAGACGGAGAGGAAAGAGGAGAAGGAGGAGGAGGAAGAAGAATCAAGGACCACATCAGAGCAAGCAACACACCAACCACGACGACTGCAACACCGCTGCTGCGATCCGCAGCACGATCACTGACCACAGCACAGAGCGGGAGGTATCCCACACGCCTCGCGAATGGAAGCCGATTTCCCAACCCACAGGCGGACACCACGGCACCCTCCACCAGAGAAACCAGCAGGAGACGGACAAGGAGGCCTTCCCAGACTACGGCACCGATCCTTGGAAACGATGGCCGACCTGCGCAGAGGCCGTCAAAGCGAACCAGCCCGATCAGCACGACCGAATCAGGAGATTTCCCCCTGATTGCCCGCAACACGAGGCAACCCTCGCGTTTGGACCAGCCTACAGGCGGCCAACCAGTACACTCTATCTTCACATACCTACTTCTTGCTTCACAGCAGACAGGACCGCCAGCTGCGACCTACCCAGGCCAATCTCTGGGCTATCCTTTCACCGACACGTACGCACTCACCGCATGACGGAAGCAGCACAGTTGGTGGTATGGAAGTCGAGCTTCTCTACGGCAGTACCCTACAGCGAGAACATCAGTGGCGACTACGATTAGCGTGGGTCCATACGGGCTTTCTCACCCACTTGAATGCACATAATTTTACTACAAGAAACGCGTGGGCTCCCGAGGGACATTTTCACCCATTCACCCACAACGTATGAGAGCTCTACCAACCTCCATTCCCTACCGGCTCACCTTCTTGCAGTCCCGTCCCCTCCCGCCCTACCCATCTGACCTCCGCAATCGCCACTTTTTGTGGTAGGGTAAGGGTCGGTACGACATGGGCGGGGAGAGGGGAAGGACACGCCGCCCAGTGCCCAGGCTAGTGCCAGGGCGGCCGCGGCCACAGCCGCGGGCGCCATCGCACCCTTAGCCGCCGCCAGGGCACCGGCTCACCCTCAGCCCTCAGCCGCCACCAGGGCACACTTCTCACCCTCAACAACCACAAGGGCACCTCATCACCCCCAGCCGCCACCAGGGGACCACACACCCGCGCCGCCGCCACAGATGGCAGAAACCACCCCCACGCACGGTGGAAACCCCCCAAGCAGCCACCACTCCCATGATCTGGGTGCCATACAGTCAACCCGCGTAGTAAGGATGGGCAACCTTCCCAAGGGTACCCCTGCATCCTTGCCTCCTCGGTCCATCCTTCGCCAGCTTCGTTGGCCGCGCCCCGCTCAAAGAGCTTCGAAATGGGCGTCCAAGGCCCTTGCATCCTTATCGCGCATCCTTACTATACTAGTTGACTGTACTCCCGCCCCGGCGGAGGAAGGTACCAGTCATGGGGACGGTGGCTGCTTAGGGGGGCATCCCATGCGCAGGGTGTGAGGCCTTGGTGCCATCTACCTCGGCGAGCGTGGCCTGCGCTGCCTCGCGCTGCCAATGGGGGAGGGCCCAAACCTCTCAGGCTCCATGGAATCCCCCAAGGCGGCCAAGGGGCCGACCCCGTGATTTCACGCGCGCGACGGCACCCTCACACGTCGGCCGACGTGTGAGGGTGCCGTCGCGCGCGTGAAATAACGGGGCCGCACACTTCACCCTCACTCGCGCCCTCACGCGCGCGTGAGGGTGAAGTGTGCGGTGCTGGGAGCCCGACGCCTGCTTGCAGGCGAGGGCGCCCCGCCGTCGGCCTCGGGATCGCCCGTGGGAGCTACCTATGGGCAGACGCAGGGGCCCCATGGGCCCCTGCCCGCTGCGAGCGTCGCCCCGCAGCCTTCACCTGCCTCCCACCTTCACCACCCTGCCACAGCGCCTCCACCTGCCTCCCATTTTCTTTATTTATATATATATATATATTATATATATATATATATAATATATATATATATATATATATATATATATATACAGAGAGAGATGGTAGAGGTCGTATTGTGTGTAAATACATGTGTGTAAGGAACATTGCCGCTCCACCGCACGGTCTAGTAGTGCTGCCGCCGACGCCTCGCCGACGCGGCTGCCCCGCGAGGGCCAGGACATGCCGGCGACTTGCCAGCCCCAACCGCAACACCATGCGGGGAAACACAAGGGCACTTCAGAAGAGGGGGGGCCTGGGCGCCCTCCAGGGCGCTGGTCCCAAGGGGCCAGTAGACCCGAAGGAGAGAGGACAGGGCAACTCATGCAGGACCGCCACACAGGTCAACAAAGCGGGCCCCTCCTTTGCCCCCCTCTGGACCGACTAGCCTTCTGGCGGAACCTCCCTAGCGGCCCCGCCCACTTCTGCAGCGCCGCCACGCCACAGACTTGCTGCCGCCACTTCTCACCCCGTCTCTTTGATCTGAGGACGATTCTCTCCTCCTGTCCCGCGGGACCTCGGCCCCTTAATTTTGTCTTTATCGTCTACTCCCCCAGGGGGGCCTGACAGGGCCTCCTTCGAGGAAGCGGCAGCGTTCAGAGAACACCGTTCGGAGAACACCAGTGCCAACAGGATACAGCATACAGGAGAAAGGGGAGAAGGATGAGGAGGAGGAGGAGGAGGAGTATGAGGAGTGGATTTTTTAAGGTAGCGGGGGGGGGAGTCCGGAGGCAGGGAGGGGGGGGGCAGGAAAGGGGGCGGCGGGGACGGGGAGGGGGGGGGGGGGGGGGGGGGGCGAGGTTGAGGCGAAGAGGGAGGGGGGCGGGGAGGGGGAGTGAGTGGCAGGGGGCGACGCAGAGGGGTGAGGGGGGGAGGCGAGGGGGAGTGGGGAGCTATCTGGTCCGAGGCTGCCAGTGCAATTGCACTGCGGGTGCGGGAGAGGGGGGAGCGAGGCTCGAGGCGGGCATCTTGGCGCGACGGCGACCGCGCCGAAGGAGGATGAGCGGAAAACGACGAAAGACACTCGAGCCCCGCATCCTCCCCCTGGCGTGGCGCGCCGCATCGCCGAGCGAGGAGGGAGACGGGAGGGAAGGACGGGAATCGGGAGGGGAGAGAGGTCAGGAGGGAAGAAATATGGGGAATGTTTTTATTTGTGTGTATTCATTTGTGTGTCCTGGGGCCCCTTCAAGAGGGGGGCGCGGCGGGCCCGAACTCCGACGTCGTGACTTCCTCACAGCGTGGGCCCCCGAGGTCCGGACCCTCTGGCGTGGCGCGCCGCGAGGCTTTTTGTGGGCGGCCCCGGAGGCCGGCAGAGGCCCCCAGCACCCCGAGCGCCGAGAACGGCCAGAAACCTCTTGTCGTGACTTCTTCGCGCCGCGAGGAGGTAGAAGGAGGAGGAGGAGGAGGAGGAGGAGGAGGAGGCGCGAGGAGGTAGAAGGACGAGAAGAAGGAGGAGGAGGAGGAGGAGGAGGAGGAAAAGGGAAAGGGAAAGGGAAAGGGAAAGGGAAATGAGGAGGAGGATGGCCCCCTCCTACTCTCCTCTGATTCTTCTTGAGGTCATGATCTAAGTACCTTGTTTCTCCTCTTGCTCCCTCCCCTTTCTGCTGTCGTGCCTTCCCGACCGTTTACGACTTATCCCACCAGCTTGTGATTCCAAGGGCGACCGCCTTTGGAGTCACCTGACTCCCTAGTTTGATCAACCCCCAGGACCGACCGGCCCTGTTGGGGGGAGGGCAGCGTCGGCACGTTTTTTCTGCCCTCAAGCACCCGGGCACTCAGGAGGAGGTGGAAGCAGGGGGAGGACGAAAGAGGAGGAGGAGGAGGAGGAAGAGGAGAAAAAAGAGATAAAGGAGGAGGAGGAGGGGAAAGAGGAGGAGGAGGAGGCAGGAGGGAGGAGCCCAACCCGGCGCCTCTCCTCGGAGGACCTCTTGTCAGGGGGAGGACGAAGGAGGAGGTGGAAGCAAGGGGAGGACAAAGGAGGAGGAGGAGGAGGAGGAAGAGGAGGAATGGGAAGGAAGGAGGAGCCCCGCCCGGCGCCTCTCATCGGAGGACTTTCTGTCAGGGCAGTTTCTGTCTCATGGCCGTGTGGGCCTTCGGCGCAGCGTGGTTCTGCGGGAAGCTGCTGAGCGGGAGCGACGCCGCGCGGCTCTCGAGCTGTTCCTCGCCCCCCCGCTGCTGCTCGCCGACGGCTGCTCCCGCTGCGGCTGCGGCTCCCTCCTCTTCTCCTCCTTTCGCCATGCATCTGGGGCGTTCCAGAACGGGCCTCGTCTACGAGGGCCGGAAGAGTTGGCATCTCTTCCTCGGCGGAAGCCGCGGAAGGTCGGCGGAAGTAAAACCTGGCGGAAGGCTAGCGGAAGGCGGCGGAAGTGAAGTATTCGCCCCCAAGAGATAACAACATGTTTGGGTTCAGGGTTTCTGGAATTGGCCAGATGGGGTTCGAGCAGATGTGGTCGGAGGGTCGCACCGCTCGGCCACGCGCAAAAGGGGGGTATGGGGGAGGTGGGGAGGCTTCACAGAAGCACCCCTGCTTCTCAGAAGGCGCGGGCCTTGTATGTAAATGTAGGGCCGGCGCCTTCTAAGAAGCAGCCTCCTTCTAAGAAGCCTCCCCCCCTCCCCCATACCCCTCCGTGCGCGCCGCCAAATTGCATCGCCGATGCGGCTCGGTTTGGAGCCCGATTTTCTCCACGCCGACAGTGACAGGGCCGATGCATCGCCGATGCGGCGCGATCCTCCGACTCCATCTAGCCGGACCCTATCTAGGAGGCCTCCAATGAAGGGAAGGCGTCCTGAGGGAAATTGGTCCTGCAGGTTTTTGGCCGTTTCCGGATTCCAGGGGAGTCCTGCAGGTTGCTGCCCGCTTTCGGCCTCCACGGGCCCTCCCAATGCCCCGGGATGGCCAAAACAGGCCCAGGATGGAGATGCTGTCCCAGGGGATGACCGCGGTGTCTACGCAATTAGGACCAGCTTTCTTCATGCCACTGTTGTTCCCGCTGCTGCCCAAGGAAGGGAAAACGAAACATTGCAAGCATAACATGTCAGAGTTCCGCGCGGGTTTCTTGGGTCTGCGTTGCCCCTTGCGGCGCCTCCGACGCCTCCATCCATTCGCACGCTCCGAGCGCCAGCGCCGATCTAAGAAATCCGCGCGAACTTCCAAAAGTTTGTATTGATGCCGTTGGTTGTTCTTCTACTTCTTAGTTGTTGCTGCTCATCCTGCCCGTCCTTCTCCTACTGCGGCAGGTTCGTGTCGTGTCGACGCGGCGGCGACCCCCGCGCGGGCGGTCAAGGTTGAACGCTGCCAGCCTGGAACCGGCCGGTATCGAAGGATATGCGTTCTGGAACATCCGCGATCGTTCGAGATCGAACGACCCACGCGGTGCCAGCAACCAACGCTGAAGTTGCCAACGCGGTGCCAGAAACCAACGCAGAAGTCGCCAAGATACAAATTCGCTTGCTGCCTGCTCAGCGTCCTCCACCACTTCCTTTCAGGGGGTGGGATGATAGACAGGGCCTGCCATCGCTATCATCCCCCAGGTGCAGGCTACAAGTTAGAGTTCTCCCCAGTCCAGGGTTGTCTCCACGGAGCTTGTATACCCCGGTGTCCTTAAAGGACTGTCTAATGGCGGCCCGCCCGCTCCAAGAGCTGGATGCTCGGTTAGTGATCCGTCACCTCCTCCACGACTCCAGGCCTGCCCCCTGCTGCCTCCCAAGGAGCCGCCCGCAGACACTGGCGCCGCACGCCAAGAACAGCACGCAGTGGCCGCGTCGGGTCACGGTGCCGCCCAAGCTCATCTTCGCGGGGCCTTGGCCGCACGAGTTCTTCAGCCCCAAGGCCTTTCCTGTGTGGTGCGGGCGGTAGGCACTGCGATGGCTCAGAGGATCGGGCGGGGTTGTGGGGGGTCTCTCCTTGGGAGGTGCGCAGTGATGTGCTCCAGACCCTTTCCCGTCCGTGGCTGCATGCCAGCGACGAGGGTGGGAGCCAGAGCTGCTGTGCTTGCTCGTGTCAGCGCGAGCGGAAGCAGGAGCAGCAAAAGAAGCAGGCGGGGGTTGAAGCCTGAGCAGGCGCAGAGACAGGAGGAGGGGGAGGAGTATTAGGGCGAGAATGATGTTGGATTGATTGGGGATGGGAGGCATCCTTTTGTTGTCCTCTCCGCCCTTTCTTGTCCACTCTGTTGCGCTTTCCAACCCAGACACCTTCCCCTCCCCCCACCTTGCCCTGCTCCCACCCTCATCCTGTGTTTCGGACCGCCGCCCGTCGAAACTCTTGGATGTCCACGCCTCCCACAGGCCGCTCCCCCTCGCAATACGTCTCCCCCTCCCCTCCCTGGCCTGTTCGGGGCGGCCATGCTCATGGACCCCAGTGGTCGGCCGCACTGGTTCCCCCCCATCAACAATGTTTTCCCCTTCTCGGCCCTTTTCGCTGCCCCCCTAGACCTTGTTTTGCTCCTCACTTGGAAGGGATACGGAGAAGGCGCTCGTTTCGGTCGAAGGAGGCGCTGCGCACGCGCTAGACATCGCTGTCTGGGCGCTTCTCCACGCAACGCGCGGACGTGCTGGGAACGCCCACGAGAAACGCTGAGAGCGAGCGCGGGAGTGCGGTTGCCTGCTCCGTTTTGCCAGCTTCTCGTGAAATTCTACGACCTCGCAAGGAGCTATCCGGGGAAAGGACTTCTATGTAACAGAGATGCAAGACGGCATGAACAGTTAATGTTTAATGAAATACCCAGCGACAGCTACATATTGGACAACCACTTTCCCACACGTGCAATGTATTCCAAGTATTTCAAACATCCTGGTAGCAAGAGAGGGAGGGGTCCCAAGCGAGAGCCCGGTCTTGAAAAGGTGCCACCATCCATACGTGATGTGCTTGGTTTATTCTAAACGAGCGCGGCTCGCCAAGGGGACAGCCTCCTTGTGAAAAGAGGGTCTCGCTGTCCATCCGAGCACGTGTTGGACACGTCAAGCTTCAGGCGCACCAGTGGCGACACAAGGTTCAACCGAAACGCCGGACCGCCGTATTGACACTCGCAGAAGAAGTATTACGTGATGATGAGGTCCGCACGGATTTCTTGAATCGGCGCTGGCCCCCCCTGGCGGGGCTTCCGGCGCCGCCCCTGGCGCGCTCCGCGCGCCCAGGGGGAGGGGGGGGCAGCGCAGACACGCGAGATTCGCGCGGACCTGCGAACGTCTGTGCTGAAGGTGGCTGTGTTCCTCCAGGCACGGGGAGGACCTCAGTGGCACGTCTGGATGGAGCGCGGGCCTGTTTCCAAACTAGAGTTCTCATTTGAGCGCCGCACGCATTCGTTCAAAACTTTGCAGCCGATCTCAAGGTAGTGGTTGGTCGTTGTTTTAATTGATCTCTCGTTTTGGCGCCGCGCACATCTGTTTGAAAGTTGTGCAGCATATTCAACGATGGATGGCGGATTGATTTCAAAATGTGGTTCTCGCCCCATCGCCGCGCACCTTCGTTCTACATTGTTGCAAGAATTTCAAGGATGAAGGGCGGCTTGTGGGTACCGCCTCAGCGCCGCACACAATCCTGCGACAGCCCAAAGATGGACGTGGGTCGTTCTCAAAATGGGATCTCGCCGTAGCGCCGCGCGCATTCGTCTTTACAGCTCGCGAGAAAAGGATGGAGGACTACGAAATCAGAATATGGTGTTAAGTCTGGCGTGACCCTCTACAGGAGAAATATTCAAAAATAGTGAAAGAATAGTCCAGAGACGACTTTGGGACCATTTTCGAATATGGTTTGAATAGTCTTGAGGTGTTGTTTATTTGTCGTCCAAAATCTGCGTGTCGGAGGACATGCCCGACCTAAATCTGGTGCTTGCCTGGCATTATTCCGCGTGCCAAGACGCGAAGCTTCCACGCGTGCAGCACTGAACGGATCGAGGGTGGTCCCTTTTCCAGCATGAAGCTGTCGCTTCAGGCTTCCTGGAAGGCTTCAGTCGGGCTTGTCCTTCTACAGGAGGAATAATTGAAAATAGTCAAAACATAGTCTGGGGACGATGTTTCGATTATTGTTTGATTATGTTGGTGTATATTTGAATGTCCATGATTTTCCCTCCAAAATTCGCATGTAGGGGGACACGCCCGACTTAACGGAAGTGCATGGTCACAAGTGCTAAACGTGTGCAACAGTTTCATTGATGGTTTTTTGCCGAACGGAGGAGCACGTTGGGCATCTCGTTGAATTGTGCGACTCTGGCCTAAAAAGGAGCAGTTCGCTTCTGTTCAACGCAGGACCGTGGCCAAAATGGCAGGCCCATACGGCGCTGTTTTGTCAAGGCGACATTTCTTGTAGTGAAGAAGACAGCTTATACGGAGGCGTAAGGGCGGGGGGGAATTGGGTCTGCGGAAAGGTGTGTTGCAGCGCCGTTGGTACACTTTGGATTTACTATTGTCCTCCTCCATCCTCCCCCTCCCGCCTCGTCCCTCATGCCCCCTTCTGTCCTCCTCTTCCGTCCTCCGCCGACCTGTTGTTCCCCCCCCCGCAGTTACACAACATGAATACTACCATCCTCCCTCCCCCGAAGACGGCCTGTGAGTCGCGAGCCCCCCGTCGCGTATTATGCTGTTGTGTTTAATGGTATGGTGTTGTTGCTCTTGCGAGTGGCTTCCCATTCGAATTGTTCAAGTCCTTCCAATCGACTCCAGCGTGGACCCCAAAGAGTACGCCCTTGCGGTAGAAGTTGTGCGGTGTGGGGTGGTAGCTGCGTAGCGGTGTGAGGACGTGAGCACCGTGCGGTGTAAGCTGTGTGGCGTAAGCTGTGTCGTGTATGTTGGGGGCTGTGAATTAGGGATGACAGCTACGGGGTGCCAGCTACGTGATGTAAGCTAGGTTGTGACATCTATGTCGGGTAAGCTCAGAGCACGCGGCGCCCACGAGGCGGCACGGGCGGCAACGTGGAACAGCCTCAGCGTACCTCGCAACGTGGCGAAAACCCAACATACCAATAACTTACCTCGAGGAAGAGAAGCAGTAACCCCTAACTGCAAGCCCTGCTTGGGGAAACTGTGCTCCCGCTGAATCGCGGGCCTCAGTTTAGGATCGGGGCGCTGCTGCCGTCGTTCGGAATGGGGCCAGGCTGCTGGATCCGAGCGATTCCTAATCATTGTCGCCGCTTCCCTTTCCCCTCCTCCGCCTTCCCCTGGATATCCTGCTCCTTCCACTTCAGTTTCTGATGCTGTTGTTCGCCCGCATCCCGATTCCTTCTCGTTTTCCGCCTGCTCATACTCATGTTTATATCCTCCTCCTCCTCTTTCTCCTCCTCCCCCTCCGCCTCCTCCATTCCTTTTCCTGATGACTCACTTCTCCCTGTCGCACCCGAGGCCCGTTTTTAGGGCGGGCCAGGCGTTTCGCTTGAGATTTCCTCACCATCTAAGATTCTGAAGCTTGAGAAGTGATAACGGTTTCACGGGGTGAGGGCGGATGGTTTTCAACATGTGGCTCTCGTTTTAACGCCGCGCACATTCGTTTGAAACAGTTGCAAGAGCTTCACGGATTGAGGGCGGGTGGTTTTCAAAATGTGGTTCTCGCCTTAGCGCCGAGCACATTTGTTTAAACATGTTGCACGAGATTCACGGATTGAGGGCGGGTGGGTTTCAACCTGCAGTTCTCGCTTTAGCTCCGCGAGCATTCGTTGCTCAACAAATGCAAACGGATGCACGGATTGAGGGCGGGTGGTTTTCAAAATGTGGTTCTTGCCTTAGCGCCGCGCACATTCGTTTTAGAATGTTGCACGAGTTTCACGGATTGAGGGCAGGCGGTTTTCAAAATGCGGTTCTTGCTTTAGCGCCGCGCACACTCGTTTTAAACAGACGCAAGAGCTTCACGGATTGAGGGTGGGGCCGGTGGAGTTCACAATGCGGTTCTCGCCTGAGCGCCGCGCACATCCGTTTTATCAAAATTGGAGGCGCTTCACGGATGGAGGGCGGTTCTTTTTCATAGTGTGACCCTCGTTTCAGCGCCGCGCACACTCGTTTGATTCAAAATTCGGAAGAGCTTCACGGATTCCTATGATCAACGTGCCAGAAATGGTGTTTTGGAAGGATTCGGGACTATGCGGGTGCAACCGTTATTTTGTTGAAGTCCAAAGAATGGCTCTCTGGCACGGTTCCAGATCGTCCAGACGCAGCAGTCAGGTTGATCCGTGGGGTTGAAATCCCGAGAACAATGTTTTGGCATGCTTCATGATCTTCAAACGATTGTCTTCCAACGAGGTAGTTCCCCCAATGGAAATGAAAAGTTGTAGGGGCCTATGAAAAGGGGGCTTGGAGGGAGGGTTTATTCCAACATCTGTAATAATTCTTGGGTTTACACTGGTGCTCCTCTTCCTCCTCCTCCGCCTCCTCCTCGTCCCCACCTTTTCCGAGTGCCCATTACGCGATGGAGTAGTTTTTTGAGTTCCAGGTGTGGGAGGGATAGGATGTCACATATGGCGCGAGCGCAGCGTCCTGCTCCGTCCTCCCCCTCCTCCCCCTCCTCCCCTTCCCCCTCCTCAAAACAGAATGCAGCATCGCAAAAAATCACGAGTGGAACCCTGGGCCCCATCTTTCTGCTGCATTTTTCGAGCCAGATCGATCTGTGATGGCCCCACGGCCCGAACTGGGCGACAACGCCGGGCGTGAAAAGATTGCAACGACCGGATCTGAGGGCTCGTTCTGCACCCGCCCTCCCCCTGGGTGCGGGGAGGAGGGCTCCTGCTGAGCGCCCGGCCCCGGCCGGTGAGGGGCTGGCCTGCTACGCCACGCCGGGGGGGCTCTCCGCGCTGGTGCTGGAGACCTACGCCGTGCACGAGCTGCGGCCCGGCGCCGCGCGCACGCGGCCAGCGCTGGCAGAGTGTCTCAGGCCCCGGGGCGGCCCCACCCCGAGGAGGGGGAGATCGAGGAGGATCGAGGAGGCGAGGGGGGGTGCTCGAGACAGTGGCGTCGAAGAGGTCGAAGAGGAGGAGGAGGAGGAGGAGGAGGAGGACACATGTAAACCCAAGACTCATCAACCATATTGCAATAAGCCCTCCCTCCAAGTTCCTTTTCCATAGACCCCATATATAGATTGATTGTCACTGAGGGAGATGCCCCGTTGGAAGGGAACCGTTTGAAAACACGGAATTGTAATAGGACGCCATTCCTGTGATTGCAACGCCGCGAGTCACAGTTGTTGTTGCGTCTTGACGATCCTGAATCGCGTCAGAACACCATTCCTGGGAGCTCAACGCCGCAAGACAACGTGACTATTGTGCCCTGACATTCCGACATCGTGCCAAAACGCCAGTTCTGAGACGTTAACCATGAGAGCCTTTGAAACGATTGCAAACTCTTGAGACGAGTGTGCGCGGCGCTAAGGCGAGATCCACATTTTGAAAGCAGACCGCTCTCCATCCGGAAAGCCCTTGCAAACTTGTCCGACGAATTTGCGCGACGCTAAGGCGAGAGCCACAGATCAAAAACAGCCCACCCTCCATCCGCGAAGCGGTTGTCAACTTTTTGTAGGGATATGCGCGGCGCTAAGGCTAGAGCAGCATTTTGAAAATGGCCTGCCCTCCATCCGTGAAGCTCTTGCGAACGTTTAATAGGAATTTGCGCGGCGCTAAGGCGAGAGCCACATGATGAACACCACCCGTCCCTCATGCGTGAATTTCTTGCACACTTTTACAACTAATGTGCGCGGCGCTGAGGCGAGAGCCACATTTTGAAAGCGACCTGCCCCGATCAGTGAAACTGTCACAAGCTTCAAGCTTCAATATCATAAATGCTTTAAGTCTCAGGCGAGAGGCACTGCCCGTTGATTGGCCTCGGGGTGCGACACGGAGTAAGGAAAAGGGATGGAGAAGGAGGAGGAGGAAGAGGAGGAGGAAGGCCATATGAATGTGGGATCCCACCCCCCGCGCTCGCCCATGTCGCCGCGCCCGCCCGCGCGCCGCCCTGGGGGGGCATGCTTCAGCCCGCTGGGCGCCGCCGTTCGCAAAGGCTGCGGGCACCGTGGGGGGCCACCTGAAAGCGTGGGGGTCCCGGCCGCATGAGACAACACGACATCATGATGATCGGACCATTGGCGGCCAGGCGGCTTGCGAGACGCAGACGCCAGCATGCACGCGAGGCTGCGCTGAGCTGTCGTACGATGGCGAGCTGTGCTGGGGTGAGGCCCTACGCTCACGCACCCAGCGGCCGCAGGAACATGTACGACACAGAGTGCGGCAGGCACGTCAAGTGTGACGAGTATTGCACCACATGCGACAAGTACGATTCCAAATGCGACACAGACGTGCAGCCCGTGGCATTGACCAAGTATATAGTCGTGCAGATTTCGGTCGGCCACGGCCACGCCGCCCACGACAACTCCTCGGCTACGACCAGCACAGCAGTGACGACGACTACGACACTTACGGCTTCCTCAGTCCGGAAGCCACAGGTGCCATCAGTTGTATTACGAGGGTTGCTCGCTGTGATACGGGGACCACAAGCAAAGCTACGAGGGCCACCAGCTGAGCTACAAAGGCCACTTGCTCAGTTACGAGAACCTCCAGCTGACCTCCAAGGACCACCAGCTCAACTACGAGAGCCTCCAGCGGAGCTTCGATGGGCACTCGCGAAGCTACGAGGGCCACAGGCAGATATTCAATCGCCACCAGCTGAGCTACGGGCGCCACCGGCTGAGTTACGAGGACCGCAAGCTGAGCTACGAGGGCCACAGGCAGGGCTACGAGGACCGCCAGCCGAGCTACGACGGGCACCAGCTGAGGTGCCAGGGCCACCAGCTGGACTAAAGAGCCACCAGCAGAGCCACGAGAGCTACCAGCTGAGCCACGAGGGGCACCAGGCGAGGTGCCAGGGCCACCAGCTGGGCTACAAGAGCCACAAGCAGAACCACGAGAGCCACCAGCTGAGCTACGAGCACCACAGGCGGAACAACGAGGGGCACGAGCACGGCTACGAGGACCACAAATTCAGTTACTAGAGCCATAGGCGGAGCTACAAGGGAAACCTTCTGAGCAAATTGAGCTTCCAGCAGGCCTACAGGGGCCACCAGCCGAACTACGAGGACCACAAGCTCGATTACGAGGGCCACAAGCAGAGCTACCAAGATCTCCTGCTGAGCCACGAGGGGCACAATGTCAGGTACCAGGGCCGCCAGCTGGGCTACAAGAGCCACAAGCAGAGCCACGAAAGCCACCAGCTAAGCTACGAGGACCATAATCTACATTACGAAGGCCACAGGCAGGGCTACGAGAACCACGAGCTGAGCTACGAGAGCCACCGGCAGAGCTACCCAGCCGACCAATTTGCCGAGCTACCAGAGCTTCCAGCAGACCTCTACGAGGGCGACCTGCTGATGAACTACTAGGACCAGGAGCACAAGCTCGGCCACAAGAGGCACATCCAGGCTTACGAGGACTTCGAGCTGAGCTACGACGGCCACCAGGAGGCGCCGGGCTTCAGCTGACAGCGCTGGGCTGCAGCCGGATGTCGGCGGGAGCCTGGCGCTCGCCCCGGGAGTGGCCGTGCGCCCCGTCGGCAAAGATGTGCGCACGCTACTCAGCTACTCAACGGGAGGGAGGAACACCCGACGGGTGGGTATCCAAGGCAGGGTTGGGTCCATCCAGGTCAGGGCAGCCTGCCCGGAGCCCGTCGGTCTCATGACCGAGCAGGCGCTCGGGCGCGCGTGCGAGCAGGCAGTTCGCAAGCACAACTACCAGGACCCATGCTCATCTACATGTTGTTCCAACCGCACGCACGACGTGACAGCCGCCGAAGGGCAGCCAGGCGCAGCCGCCTACTTCGACTTGATCCTCGGCATCGAGGCTACTTCCGATATGTCCTACAACCAAGTGCCGCCATAGGACACAGTGCGAGAGCATCCTACCTGAAGACAGAGAGGATGGCCACGCCACCGCCTTCGCCTGCCGGGACTAAGGCGGCCACGAACACATTGTTCCACGACAACTACGAAAACCCTGGACAGCAAAACTACGTATACTACCCCTCGCGCCACAACGGACCCCAAACAGTACTCCGTCCTCTGCCCCCGCCCCCACCTTCTTTCACTCCTCTGACTGCAAGCAGTGTTTAAGATAGCGCCCCGGCGGCAAGGCATACTGAGCGGCCTGGACGGTTCACCTCTCCCCTTTTCCCTTGCTCCTGTGTCATGCGTCCTCCCTCTCCCTGTTTCTCTCCTCCGGGAAGGCGCAGGCCTGAGCAACGTTCCGGTTTTTTTGTTTTATTCAAGCCTTTCTACAGGCGTGAGGTCATTGGGACCGCGGTGGGGCGCTGCGTCGTCGTAGGAGGAAGAGGAGGAGGACGACGACGACGACGAATCAGGATCCTCGAGCCCCGGTCCTGGCGCCATGTGGCGATGCTTCGAGTCTTTCCGCAAATTCCCATAGCCCCACCAGCCACGGCTGCTCCTCGCCGAAAGCGTTGTGGCGGTGCCCGATTTCGACCCGAACGGCCGCCAGAGGCCCGATGTACGATTTATGCTCCAAAAGCAAAACTCCAAAAACAAAAACCCACAAGCAAAAAGGCAGGCGGGGGGGCGGTGGCGAGGGGGACGCACAGAGGAGGAGGAGGAGGAGGAGGAGGAGGAGGAGGAGGAGGAGGAGGAGGAGGAGGAGCAGGAGCAGGAGCAGGAGCAGGAGCAGGAGGAAGAGCAGGAGGAGGAGGAGCAGGAGGAGGAAGAGCAGGAGGAGGAGGAAGAGCAGGAGGAGGGAGAGGAGGAGCAGGAGGAGGAAGAGCAGGAGGAGGAGGAGGAGGAGGAGCAGAAAGAGGAGGAGGAGAGGGAGGAAGCAACGACTTTACGACTTTACGACCTATGATCCAAAAGCAGAAGCCAAAGCTGAGGTCGTTCTCCGTGGTAGGTCGCCGGGAAGCCCCCACCAGGCCTCGGGGCCATCAAAATGATCAATCAGTACACTGGAGGCCCATGCCAAGAAACGCCCTGCTTGCCTCAAGTCGGGCGTGCCCTCTACAGGAGGAATATACAAATCTAGCAAAAATAGTGGGGACCATGTTTTGACTATTGTTGAATATGTTTTCGAATGTTGTTTGGGAATTTCTATTTTTGTTGCCACAAATCAGCCTGTAGGGGAACATGCCCGTTCTAATGCTTGCCTCCAGGGTGCCATGGGGTTCGTGGGTTTCGATGGTTTTGCTATGGAAAGCGTGGCGTTCCCACACCGAAAAATCAATGGACGTCCTGGGGTCTCAGAGTTGCGTTTCTTGTGGAAGGTTTCTGGTGCAGTGGCCTCCACTGTAGGAGAAGCCGGCCATGGAGAGAGTGTCGAGGCTTCTTGGCCCCCTGTATTGAAAAATCCGTACAGTGGATTTGTAGGACCATCAGATCTGAGTAGCGCTATCCATACACGGAGGACCCGGCGGCATGCTGTGGCACAAGGCCAGACCGAGTGACACCAAACAGTCGGCACTTCAAATCGTAGATCGACCTGCCACCAGGTGCCCCACGGAGATGTCTGAGCCTCCGATGGCCCCAGGGACCCACAGAAGCTCTGGGGCATCTCAGGATCCTCTCAGCTCTATGCCCCAAGGTTTCCAGGGACCGAGCACAACGCTGTTTAGCATGGCTTGCGTCCCGGTTCTGCTGTTCGTTTTCGTGCTCGTTGTCGTTCCGTTGTGTTTCGTTTCGGTGTCGTGTTCGTTCGGCGCCGGTTCCGTCGAAACGCTCGTTTTGAACACTCGATTCCGTTCCGTTTTATTCGTACTGAACGCCAGCGCCTTCTAAGTATCGTTTTCTTCGGTCGCGGACAATTCCTCATATCAGGATGTCTTCTTGTATGCGCCTTCTGCACACGGACGATGTTGCTCGTCAAAAGGGGCCCACGAGGCCACAATAGTTAAGCCCTGCAGGGTGCCCCTCCCCTGCTGAGGCCTCGGATGGCACTTTTGCCCTGCGACAGGAGGAGGGGGGGGTCCAGGGAGGAAGGAGGGGGACGGGGGCACAAGGGCGCCCTTGAGGGCGCGAAGTTATTCGCGCTTTCAGGGTGCCTCTCCCCTGCTGAGGCCTCGGATGGCACTTGCCCTGCGACAGGGGGGGGGCGAGGGAGGAAGGAGGGGGAAGGGGGCGCATAGGGGCGCCCTCGAGGGCGCGAAGTTGTTCGCGCTTCACGATTTGGCTCCAGTGCGTCCTCCTCCTCCTCCTCCTCCTCCTCCTCCTCCTCCTCCTCTTCCTCCTCCTCCTCCTGCTCCTCCTTCTCCTCCTCCGCCTCCTCCTCCTCCTCCTCCTCCTCCTCTCCCCTGGGGGGGAGGGCGGCACGAGCGCGAAGTGCTTCGAGCTTCGCGCCGCGCGAAGCGCGAAGTAGGCGTCCTTGAAGCAGAGGGCTGTGGCCAGGGGAGCTCATCCGCGGTTCGCCAGTTCTTTGCCCCCCCCCCCCCCATCACCCCTATCAGCCCGTTTTCCCGCCTCGGCGCTCCGCGAGGGCGAAGCGGCCGGAGTGGAGGGAAGGCTGGCTGGCCCGGTAGAGGGCGGCGCCTCCCCCCCTCGTGGAGCGCCAGCAGCGGGAGAAGCACGTGGCATGCTCGGGGCCTGGGCGCTGCCCCGTTTCGGCTGCTCCAGCTCTGGGGCCCTGCATCTCAGCATCATCCAACCGATGCCCAGCCCCACTGGACCGTGGTATCTCAGCCCCACCAGCCCACTCTCGTAGGTGGGAAATGGCCCCGCGAAGCCCCAAGGAACAGGCGTGTGCCCCCCCACCTAGGTGGGCAGGTCAGCCAGTGGGGACGAGGCCAAGCCAGAGGTGATAGGGATCGGTGAAACAATGATCAACCAGCCCCTCCCCAAGGGCAGCCCTTTTCCCTTCGGCTGGCCAGCCCAGGTCCGCCCCTGGCTTTCTGGAGGGCGGGCTCCGCGACGTCGCCGCGGGCTGCGACGAAGGCCCTGGCCGGCCCTCCCCGCCCCGGCGAGGCAGGAGGGGGAGGTGGCGGCACGCACAGAGGGGCGGCGGGGGCTCGGGCCTCCCAAGTCGGGTCCGAGCAGATGGAGTCGGAGGATCGCGCCACGTCGCCAAGGCACAGGCGATGCGGGGCGATGTGGAGCCCGACTCTCTTCGCGCCGCCGTCGCCGATGCATCGCCGACGTCGCGGGTGCATCGGCGATGCGGCGCGTTCTTCTGGCCCGATCTCTGCGGACCCGGTGCGGGAGGCCTCCGACGGGAGCGGGGGAGGGCAGAAGGCAGGGGCCTCTTCAGAAGCCCCCCCCCGCCGTCTTGGAAGGCCGCCCCCCTCGCGCCAACCCCCTCTGCGCGCGCCGCCCGGGGAGGAGGTGGGCAGTGGCGTGCGCCCGCAATGCTGAGGACGGCCTCGTGGAGGCCGTGGCTGCCCTGCGGGGCCCCCAAGGGAGGTGTGCGCAGGATTCCGGGGCAGCTGGTGCGCGAGGGGGCCCCGGAAGGCCGAGGTGGCCCAAGCCCCGTGCGACTCGGCCCTGGTGGCCTCCAGAGGGAAGCTCGGCAGGCTGAGAGCGGCCACAAGGACCGCAAATGGCAGAGAGAGAGAGAGAGAGGAAGGGGTGGGGAGAGGAGGGGGGGTCCTCCCTCCTCCGAGGGACGAGAGCGGAGTGGGAGCGGGGAAATGTAGCGGGGAGTGGGGCGGAGGAGGGAGGCACAGGAGTCCCGCCACGCGCAGAGGGGGGTAGGGGGAGGGGGGAACGCTTCTTGGAATCTTAGAAGGCGCGGGCCGTGTCTGTAGATGTAAGGTCGGCGCCGTCTGAGAAGCGGCGTCCTTCTAAGAAGCCTCCCCCCCTCCCCCTTATCCCCTTGTGCGCGCCACCAGGAACTGGGGAGGGGTGGAGGTGTGGGGGGGGGGGGGAGGTGGGATGCCCATGGGGAGGGATGGCGCAGAAATGCCCGGTGTTGTCTGGAAGCGGGCCCTGGCGAAGGCGCGTGCTGGGCGCTGCTGCTCAGCGCCACTGGGAGGAGCACGCCGCGATGGGTCGAAAACACCACAAGCTTGGATCGATCCGTTCTTTGTGCGCACACGACTGCCAGGGAGTCCAGCATCGGTTTGGCAGACAGATCGTTGTCTTACGAATACTTTGGCTACGGTCGGAGACGCTTGGTGCGCGCGTCGCGCCGCTGGTTCTGGCCCACCACGTTCCGGCACGGCACGCTGGCCACGATCCCATTCCCGAGCAGACGCGTCCTGAGCGTGCTCCCGGCTCCCGCCCCGCGGAGCGGAGCGACACGCTGATCAAGAAATGCCCTCGCATGGCACAGCACGAAGCCCCGGGGCCGCTGCCGAGACACGCTGAGAGAAAGATCCCGGCCACAGTGGTCGCACGCAGATCGTGTAACGCTGATGGGGGCACCTTGGGCTGACGGTGGCATACAGTGGAGACCCATGCCATGAAACACCCTGCTTGCCTCCAGGGTGCCCTGGGTTTCTTGGGTTTCGATGGTTTTGCTGTGGAAAGCGTGACGTTCCCACGCCAAAAATCAGTGGATGTCCTCGGGTCTCAGGGTTGGGTTTCTTGTGGGAGGTTTCTTGTGGACTGGCCTCCACTGTAAGACGTTGAAGTAAGGACCACCTTGGGCTCAGGAGGGGCTCTCGTTTTCGGACCGGCTCGGCGAGGCCAGAAAAGCCCTGTCGTTCCTTAGTCGGCGTTCCGATGTGAGCACGATGCCTGTATGGCTGCAGTCGAGCATCTGATTCAGAAACCTTCTCCCGAATAGCTGGGCCTTATTCAACTTGCCGTAGAGCTGGCCGGGTTTCTTGAGAACGTTCGTCCACCCCCGGCGGCAACGACGCGCAGGCTTGTTCGAAGGAACTTCCCGGAAGCTGGCCCACATTTCTTAAGTGAGAAGTTTTTGGATCTGATTTTCGGCTGTAGTGCTCGCAGATCTTCCAGCGCTTCCCCGCGGGGAGGAGCGCGCTGCGCTGCGACCTGAGCGGCGGGCCAGGCGCGCTGCTGGAGCTGCTCGGGGGGCCCTGGCTTGCCGTGGCGGCTGGGCGCGCCGGGCAGCTCTGGGCGCTGCCGGACGCTGGGCGGCTCGAAGCCGCTGGGGCGCGGATACACGCCGGTCGTTGAAAGTATGTAGTTCTGGATCCCCAGATCCCAATAGACTTCAAGCGCCTTCCTACCTCTAGAATCGACATGCTTTGTCGTGTTTTGTTGTTCTCTGCGAGGGCATGAACCCAATCTACCTTATCCGCCTTCCTACTTCATGTCTTTACCTACTTCTTCCGACCGACGTGTACGGTGAGGGGGAGGCGGGGGATGGAAGAGTCAGAGGAGGGCAAGTTGGTACAAGGGTAGTTGGCCTTCGGGGGGGGGCCCTCGTCGCCACGGCTGGGCGCCGCTCTGAAGACTGGTGCGTCTGGGCCTTTGGGAGGGTCTGGGCCTCGGGAGGGGGGTCTGGGGTAAGGTTGATAAAACCGTGTGTGTGTGTGTGTGTACCACCTCGGTTTTTGGTCTATTACTTCTCATTTGCTTGCTTTCCTGTTGATTCTATGCTTTTCGTCATCTTTAAAGGGATTGCTCAAAGTAGTGGAATGCAGAACGATTCCTGTTGTAGCAGATTTTAAATTGAGTTCTTTTGTGGGGAATTAAAAGGGAATTCTGTTCATGGTGAATTGCAAATTGTTTCCTTTTGTGGCGGATTACAAAAGGATTCCTTTTGTGGAGGATTACAAAAGGATTCCTTTTGTGGAGGATTACAAAGGGATTCCCCTTGGTGGAGGAATACAATGGGATTCCTTTTGTGGAGGATTACAAATTGATTTCCTTTGAGGGCTCTCCTGGAAGTGAACCAGGGGACAAAAGAAAAAAAACAAACAAAAAAAAATCAAAAACATTGAAAATTCTGAAATTTACAGGTTTTCAATGATTTTCCAATGTTTTGAAGCAAAAACATATAAAAACACAGCATTTCACAATCCGAATACAAAAATGCTGTGTTTTCATATGGTTTGGGCCTCAAAACCTTGGAAATGCTGTGTTTTTTTATATGTTTTGCTTCAAAACATTGGAAATTCATTGAAAACCTGCAATTTTTTTAATTTTCAATGATTTTTTTTTTTTTTTTTTCTTTTGTCCCCTGGTTCACTTCCAGGAGAGCCCTCAAAGGAAATCAATTTGTAATCCTCCACAAAAGGAATCCCATTGTATTCCTCCATCAAGGGGAATCCCTTTGTAATCCTCCACAAAAGGAATCCTTTTGTAATCCTCCACAAAAGGAATCCTTTTGTAATCCGCCACAAAAAAGAATCATCATGTGATCCTCCACAAAAGAAGTCCTTTTGTAATTCTCCACAAAAGGAATCCTTTTGTAATCTGCCACAAAATAAAACAATGTGTAGTTCACCACCAAAGGATTCCCTTTTGTAATTCAACAGCAAAAGAAATCAATTTGTAATCCAATTATTGTTTGTTTCGGGCCTCCGGAGGCCGGAGAATCGAGATATTAAGGCTTATTAATCTCTCTGGAACGCGCTTCGGCGCTCACCCACTGGAAGTAACAGGGGTGAGGAGGAAGAGACGGCGGTGGAGGCGGAGGAGGAGGAGGAGGAAGAAGGGTAAAGAGAGGATAACTTTAGTCTGGTGGGCTGTGCTTCCCACTCGATTATGCTCTGTGGAACTCATTATGACAACGCATTGCTCCCAACGCATCTCGTCATCACCATCATCATCAGCAACATTTGAAACGCATGCTCGTCATCACCATCGTCATCAGCAGAATCTTGAAACACATACTCATCATCATGATCGTCATCAGCAGCATCTTGAAACACATGCTCGTCGTTACCATCGTCATGGGCAGCATCTTGAGACACATACTCGTCATCATCATCATCATCGTCATCAGCAGCATCTTGAAACACATGCTGGTCAGCAGCATCGTCATCAGCAGCATCTTGAAACACATGCTCGTCAACACCATCGTCATCAGCAGCATCTTGAAACACATGCTCGTCATCACCATCGTCATCAGCAGCGCAATGAAACACATGCTCGTCATCACCATCATCATCAGCAACATCTTGAAACACATGCTCGTCATCATCACCATCGTCAGCAGCATCTTGAAACACATGCTCGTCATCATCATCATCGTCATCACAAAAGACACCCACCTCTCATAGAATCGTACTACAGATGGATCCACTTCCGAGAGAATCCTATTACATATGGATCCACCTTCCATAGAATCCGATTAGGAATGGATCCACCCCTGATAAGATCCCACTACAAATGGAACCACCTTAAATATAATCTTATGACATATGGATCCGCCTCTAATAGAATCCCATTAAAGATGGGTCCACAACTAATCGCATCACATCAGATATGGATCCACCTCGAATGGAATCCTGGTACGGATGGACCCACCTCTAATATAATCCTTTTACAAATGAACCCACGTCTGATAGAACCCCATTACATATGCGCCCACCTCGAACATAATTCTATTAACGATGGATCCACCTCTGGTAACACTAAATTAGACATGGATACACCTCTAATGGACTCCAATTACATATGGATCCACCTCTAATAGAATCGTAATAAGATGGTTCCATCCCCAATGGCATGCTACTATAGATTGGTCCACCTCTAACAGAATCCTGTGACAAATGGATCCATCTCGAATGGGATCCTATTAAGGATGGACCCACCTCTAGTAGTATCTGATTAGAGATGGATCTAATGGAATCCTAATGCGGATGGAACCATCTCTAACAGAACCCTATGACAGATGGACCCACCTCTAATCTAATCCTATTAGATATGGGTTCATCCCTGAGAGAATCCTATTAGGGATGGGTTCACCTACCTCTGATGGGGTTCTACATGACATGAATCCACTTCTAATAGAATACTATTACATATGGATCTACCTTTAATAGGATCGTAATACAAACGGGTCCACCCCCAATTCAATCCTACCAGAATCCTGATACAGATGGGTCCACCTCTGATGGAATCCTATTACAAATGGATCCACATCTACTAGAATCCTGGTACAGATGGATCCATCTCTACTGGAATCCGACGACAGCTGGATCCACACTTGATGGAATCCTATGAGAGATGGGCCCATTTCAACTGAAAATCTATTACAGATCGATCCGCTCCAAATGGAATCCTAACAGAGATGGGTCCACCTTTTAATAGAATCCTGCTACACCTGGATTCACCTCTAACAAAATCCTATTACAGATGGATCCACCTCTAATGGAATATTATTAGAGGCGGGTCCACCTATAATGGGTTTCGATTAGACATGGATTCACCTGCAATGGAATCCTATATGAGATGGATACACCTCTAGTGGGGTCCTATTAGCGATGGATCCACCTCTAAGATCATCCCATTCCAGATATCTCCATCCTGATAGAATCCGATGACAGATGGATCCACCTCTCATAGAATCCTAGTAGCGATTGACCCACCATTTACACCCCCTCCCTACAGAAGGTTTTCTTTTGTGGCGGATTACGAATTGATTCCTTTTGTGGCAAAATATACAGTGGTTCCTTTTGTGTCGGATTACAACCGGATCCCTTTTGTGGCGAATTACAAATCAATTGTGTGTGTGGCGGGTTTCAAATTGATTCCTTTTGTGGCGGATTTGAAATGGAGTTCTTTTGTGGCGGATTACAAATTGATTACAAGGATGATGATGATGCTGGTGATGGCGATGCAACGCAGCAAAACGAGGTGGTACGCACGCACGGTTTTATCAACTCCACGGGTAAGGTTGATAAAACCGTGTGTGTGTGTACCACCTCGGTTTTTGGTCTATTACTTCTCATTTGCTTGCTTTCCTGTTGATCATGCTTTTCGTCATCTTTAAAGGGATTGCTCAAAGTAGTGGAATGCAGAACGATTCCTGTTGTAGCAGATTTTAAATTGAGTTCTTTTGTGGGGAATTAAAAGAAAATTCTGTTCATGGTGAATTGCAAATTGTTTCCTTTTGTGGCGGATTACAAAACGATTCCTTTTGTGGAGGATTACAAAAGGATTCCTTTTGTGGAGGATTACAAAGGGATTCCCCTTGGTGGAGGAATACAATGGGATTCCTTTTGTGGAGGATTACAAATTGATTTCCTTTGAGGGCTCTCCTGGAAGTGAACCAGGGGACAAAAGAAGAAAAAAAAAAAAAAAAATCAGAAAATCATTGAAAATTGTGAAAATTACATGTTTTCATCGATTTTCCAATGTTTTGAAGCAAAAACATATTAAAAACACAGCATGTTCACAATCCGAATACAAAAATGCTGTGTTTTCAGATGGTTTGGGCCTCAAAACCTTGGAAATGCTGTGTTTTTAATATGTTTTTGCTTCAAAACATTGGAAATTCTTTGAAAACCTGTAATTTTCTTAATTTTCAATGATTTTCTGATTTTGTTTTTTGTTTTTTCTTTTGTCCCCTGGTTCACTTCCAGGAGAGCCCTCAAAGGAAATCAATTTGTAATCCTCCACAAAAGGAATCCCATTGTATTCCTCCATCAAGGGGAATCCCTCCACAAAAGGAATCCTTTTGTAATCCTCCACAAAAGGAATCCTTTTGTAATCCGCCACAAAAAAGAATCATCATGTGATCCTCCACAAAAGAAGTCCTTTTGTAATTCTCCACAAAAGGAATCCTTTTGTAATCTGCCACAAAATAAAACAATGTGTAGTTCACCACCAAAGGATTCCCTTTTGTAATTCAACAACAAAAGAAATCAATTTGTAATCCGCTAATATTGTTTGTTTCGGGCCTCCGGAGGCCGGAGAATCGAGATATTAAGGCTTATTAATCTCTCTGGAACGCGCTTCGGCGCTCACCCACTGGAAGTAACAGGGGTGAGGAGGAAGAGACGGCGGTGGAGGCGGAGGAGGAGGAGGAGGAGGAGAAGGGTAAAGAGAGGATAACTTTAGTCTGGTGGGCTGTGCTTCCCACTCGATTATGCTCTGTGGAACTCATTATGACAACGCATTGCTCCCAACGCATCTCGTCATCACCATCATCATCAGCAACATCTTGAAAC